CTTGTGGGACACTCTAGTGGGACACTGTTGTGGGACAGTCTTGTAGGACACTCTTGTGGGACACTCTTGTAGGACACTCTTGTGGGACACTCTTCTGGGACACTCTTGTAGGACACTCTTGTGGGTTACTCTTGTGGGGCACTCTTGTAGGACACTCTTGTGGGACACTCTTCTGGGACACTCTTGTAGGACACTCTTGTAGGACACTCTTGTGGGTCACTCTTGTAGGAAACTCCTGTGGGACTCTTGTAGGACACTCTTGTGGGACACTCTTATAGGACACTCTTGTGGAACACTCTTGTGGGACCCTTTTGTAGGACACTCTTGTGGGACACTCTTGTAGGAAACTCTTGTGGGACACTCTTGTGAGACACTCTTGTGGGACACTCCGGCAGTACGCCACATACCCGACTAACGTCCTCACCCAAGAACACTCTTGTAGGACACTCTTGTGGGACACTCTTGTGGGACACTCTTGTGGGACACTCTTATAGGACACTCTTGTGGGACACTCTTCTGGGACACTCTTGTAGGACACTCTTGTAGGACACTCTTGTGGGTCACTCTTGTGGGGCACTCTTGTAGGACACTCTTGTGGGACACTCTTCCCTGGGACACTCTTGTAGGACACTCTTGTAGGACACTCTTGTGGGTCACTCTTGTAGGAAACTCCTCTGCGACTCTTGTGGGACACTCTTGTGGGACACTCTTGTGAGACACTCTTGTGGGCCACTCTTGTGGGACACTCTTGTGGGACACTCTTGTAGGACACTCTTGTGGGATACTCTTGTCGGACACTCTTAAGGGACACTCCTGTGAGACACTCTTGAGCGACACTGTTGCGGGACACTCTTGTGGGACACTCTTGTGGGACACTCTTGTAGAACACTCTTGTAGGACACTCTTGTGGGACACTCTTGTGGGACACTCTTGTGCGACGCTCTTGTAGGAAACTCTTGTGGGACACTCTTGTAGGACACTCTTGTGGGACACTCTTATAGGACACTCTTGTGGGACACTCTTGTGGGACACTCTTGTAGGACACTCTTGTGGAACACTCTTGTGGGTCACTCTTGTAGGAAACTCTTGTGGGACACTCTTGTGGGACACTCTGTGGGACACTCTTGTGGGACTCTCTTGTGGGACACTCTTGTAGGATACTCTTGTGGGACAGTCTTGTAGGACACTCTTGTTTGACACTCTTGTGGGACACTCTTGTAGGACACTCTTGTGGGATACTCCTGTAGGACACTCTTAAGGGACACTCTTGTGAGACACTCTAGCGGGACACTGTTGGGGGACACTCTTGTGGGACTCTCTTCCAGCTCCCCAGACGAAGTCGCCAGTTCTCAGCTTCCAGCTCCACAGATTCCTCCGCGTACTAGTTGTACTACAAGGTCGCCAGTTCTCAGCTTCCAGCTCCACAGATTGCTCCGCGTACTCAAGTTGTACCACAAAGTCGCCAGTGCTCGCCTGCATTTCGCGCGCTCCACACGCACGATCTCCGCAGAGGGTTGCGCGGGCACCGGACAAATCGCACTCTCGCCTGCATTTCGCGCACTCGACACGCACGATCTCCGCAGAGGGTTGCGTGCGCATGGGGCAAATCGCACTCTCGCCTGCATTTCGCGCACTCGACACGCACGATCTCCGCAGAGGGTTGCGCGTCTCGCCTGCATTTCGCACACTCGACACGCACGATCTCCGCAGAGGGTTGCGCGTCAAGTCTCCAAAACGAGCGTTTCGTACGAGACTTCCTCCAAAAGTCAAGCGGAAACACCCATCGGAGCACACACATCACGCAGCCCTGCCAAGCAGTTTCGCGATTCCAGCCCCTCCAAACAACATCCGCTCACACGCCAATCCCAATGTGACAGCGACATTCACCTCTACCACAACTCACAACCTCACGATTCCCTGCGCCTGCCACGAATCTTTCCCCATCCACACGTCTAACGCGCACAAAGTACTGCGCCTGCCACGAAATGTCACCTCCCTCACACCTCGCAACCTCACGATTCCCTGCGCCTGCCACGAGAATCGCACTTCCACGCCTCAAAACCCGTACGAAGTCCTGCGCATGCCACGAAAAGTGACAATATCATCGCATGTGAGCTTCAACAAAATTTGCACCACACCACACGCTTGGAATGATTTCGACCCGTTCAGAGCACACTCCCATCCACCAAAATCGCCATTTCAGCTGAGACTTGTCACGAAAACCGAGCTTCGATGCCACACCCTGAAACGCAAATCCCAATGGCACGGCCACATCCAACACCCCAAAAACACGACTCTCCAAACGCTAATCCCAATGGCACTGCGCAGCAAACTGCGGATCTCACAAAACGCTGCGCCTGTGCAGCGAAATGCATCACGTTTCTTGCGCGACATGTCCGTGTCACGCAAATCACAATGGAATAGTGGCGCAAACTGACACGTGACGACGACGACACGACGACGAGAGACGACGACAGACGACGAGAGACGACGACCCACGACGCAAGCCATGCAAACACAGGTCCAACCCCCAGACCCCCAACTATAGACGGGAACCCTTCGCTACGCATTCGGGAAAAACACCAAATAGGAGCCAAAGGGGGGTCACCCCCCCCAAATTCCAGGAACATTTTCGAGCTTGACACCATCACCCAGGCCCAGCCAGTCGCTTGTCCAGCAGTTGGCACCATTCTCCGAGATTGGCACGCTGGGCTTTCTAGCGATGTAGGGAGGGCAGCTTCAGCATCTGCAAAACAAATGCTGGGAACAAAAACGAACAACAGTATACCACAGTCACTTCGTTTTGTTGCTCTTTTTGACGCGAGTCACTTTGACCCGACTCCTCCTTTCCTGCCCACACCACACCAACGGCGGAAAACAAAACTCCACGTGTTGTAACGAAAGGGATTTCAAAAACCACCGATCCCTTTCATTCCAGGGCCCAGGAACTGAGCGAACCAGAACCTCGAAAAACCGGACGTGGTTTTCTGCAAAAAGTGGTAGACAACCGCCTCAAAGACGGTCCTGGACCCGGCTTCAGTGAAACGTTTTCGACCGGCCTTAGGCCGTTCTCTTCCAAAAAAAAGGCTGCTGTCAGAAACCCGTGCTCCACCCGGGCGTTCAGGCGTGGATCGAACGAGACGATCGGAAGATGGTTTTTCGAAATCAGAATCCGCGTATAGATGAAACCATACCATCAAAGGGAATGGCAATAGGACCCAGGGCATCGGAATGATTTCGCTGGGAAACCCATAGACCAAGAACGCATACCAGCACCTTTATGTTGGGGTCACCAATGGAAGCCCCTGCACCACTACCTCCATTGGACACCCCTTGAAGGTCCAGGCAGGTTCCTTATATATAGTGGTAAGTGGGCTTATTGGGGGAATTTCTCGGTGTCACATGTGATTTTCGATAGGCCTGGCGTCCATGCCCTGCTTCCCTTGTGCAAACCAACAATTGTTCCCAATTTCTAAGCGGAGCTGTGCGCGTTGTATATGGAACACCCGAGGTTTTTAGTGGTTTTGAGTACATCCTTGCCAAAACACGATGTTTTCCTGAGAGCCCTTTGTTTTTAAAGGGTTTGAATGCGTAATTCGGGTGTATATGTAAAAAAAATATATCCCTAGGGCTCCAGTCGTACCTGCTTAGAAGGTGGGAGTGGGGATGTTTGGGGAGGGTGCCGGGAGGGTCCAGTCATGAGGAGGTACGACTGGAGCCCTGGGGTGTATACATATACATATATATCTATATAAATACATGTAAATACATATATATATATATATAAATATATATATATATCATTATATATATAAAATTATATATCATTACAGTATATATAAATCCGGTTCATCCTGTAATCGGTGATGAAATCTCTCCTAAAGCGGTAGAACACCTCACTTAGACTACAGAATCTGACCATGGCCCTCGTCATCCAAACTAACCGATCTTCAAAAGAGGTGTACTTTACCCAAATGCTCAGCCCGTCCTCATATTGGGGCACACATGGGCACACAACTGGTTTGATTTTATTAGATCCCCGGGCCCCTGCCAGGGGCGCAAGAACCTCATATGTGTGTGTAACCTTTGGAATCGCAAGGAACCTTTTGGCTTTTTGATGATTCTTTTCTGTTGAATCAAGAACGCAGGGGGCTGTGATCTGTATCGGTTCATCACCTCGGCTTTGGAACTTGACTTTGGAACTTTGGAAACTGGAGCTTCAGGATGCTTGGACCTCGTTGCATGGTTTATTTACCTTAAGAATCCGGGCCCTCAAACAGATGGAGCTTTGAGGCCCCGGACCCCTGCTATGGAGGTCCGACCCCTGCCATGGACTCGGGCAACCCTAGGTACTGAACATCATCTCCTGTGTGATGCGCTCACTTCGCCTGCCTCATTCCGATCGGTCCGGTCTGGTCGCCGCGTGCTCTTGGGGCGATGATTTGCCACTCAGATCTCAATGTCCTCCTCCAACCCTCGAACATCGAAGAGACGTGTCGACGCCGGCGAGGGCCACATGCAGGCGGTCGTTTTTGGAGGTCAACGAGAAAAAAAACAAACACCGAGAGTCGATGTCACGGCAAGTTCCAACCAGCAAAAAGAGCCTCACACTGTGACTTGAAAGGGTGAAAGGGTCGCCGAACCCCGGTAGATCGAGAGGACACACATACTTCGATGATTTGGGAGGTGATCGGACTGAAAAAGTAACAAAGAACAAACAAAACCCACCTGAAGAGGGATTGACAAGGAGGCCTCTTCCCTGGTATCCCAGCTGGTGCCGAGTTTCTCCCTTGCACCTCCAGTTGGAGTTTGGGTAATCCAATTCATTCCAAAAGGCCTTCACATCACCACAGGTCCAGGTCACGGGCCAGGCCGAGGGCCAAGCACCGGCAGCCAACAGGCGCCGATGGGTGGAGTGGATGGGTTGAAGGCCATGAACGAGCAACGATCACCACAGAAACAGGAACCGAATGTCAGTTGAGTTGGATTAAAATGATGAAATCCGTCCCACATTCTGGCGAATTGACAAGATCTCGCCAGCCTCTGGCAGTTTCTGCGCAGGATTGCCGGAGAGGAGACTGGACATAGGGCTAAGAAATGATTGATATTGACACTAATTATATACAAAGCTTTTTTGCAGTACTATAATATGATTACAATATGATTACGACATGAGATCATGAGGAACTCCATTGAAAACCATGTTCTCGTGGGAAAAGCACCGCATCAAATCATAACCCTGAAATATACGGTGAGCAAACGGTGTCTGACACGGTGCCACTCCGGATTTCGGACAGAATCATCCTCTGTGGCGATTCAAACAATGCGGATAGCCGCTCCGGAACATGGTTGGTCCGTGGCGTTTTTGCAAGTGAGCCACAGGTTCCAAACCCCCTTACACCCTGGAAGACTAACATGGACCCTGAAAACCACTGGTTGGTAGAGGAAAACAATCTTCCAGGAGGCCAGCCAGTCAAGGTCCATGTTAGTTTTTGGGAGTGTAGGCCACCCCAAATCTGAAGTACTTCCAGGTAGCTTCTCGCTGAGGCCTCGTCCCCCAGGTAGCTCTTCGTTGGGGAGTTATCGTCGAACACACTGCTCTCCTTGGCGGCAAACGCAAAGAACATGGATTCGGGCCTGAATTCGTGCCTCTCCAAAGGCCGGAATATGACACATTATGATACAAACAAGGGCATGCGAATGTTTAGGAGCGGAGTGGGATGCAAAAACGCAGGCGAAAGGCCTTTATTGTAGGATGTATATTTTGGCATATCAAAGAATCTCGATCAACAACACTCAGGAGATTAACATCCACGAGGTTGAGTACAAACCGTTGTGGCGGGAGCCTGCGTTGAAGAGGATGAGGCGGACCAATCTGCTCGCGGGGTGCTTGACCATTCTGGAAGGTGTGGTCTTCCTGATAGAGAGGTCGTCTAAATCCCTCATTTTTTGCATCAGCCATAGCCAAACTCCTGAGACCTTTCATCTTTGTTCTTGACCATTATCCGCCCAAACCGGAGCCCACGGAATTCCTGACTCAACACAACATTGTGTTGAGAACACAGCTGCAATGCACAGAAGCATTACCTGCATCACCAAAGCTGAAACCACACTCCATAAATGGTGGAGTACAGCCCGCACCCATACAAAGAAGAAATGATAAGAAGTGCACAGCTGCACAGCCCTTCTATAGATGGAATCGTCAGGTCCCTTTCTCGTGGATGTAGCCTTGGATGGTCATCCCACACAATACGTAGTCGGGCCACTACACACGAAGGAGATGTCGCAAGCGTGCTGGATCAGAAAGAATTGGACGAAACTTGGACCTGTTTGGACCTGTTTTTGATTCCCATCTGCTCAAGGATAGTAACACCAGGCCCAACCCCGGCCACGCCAGGCTGCGCTGGAGGTGAGCTTGTACCTCGACTTCGCTCGGACATATCTTGGGCCCACCTGCCACGGCAACCGTTGCAGCACGTGCCACATGGTTCGGAGCCTTTGGACCTCCGAACCGATCGACTTCAACGGACCAGTGCGCAGGACGTGGACGGTCCGGCCCGGTGCCCCATGGCAGTCTCCCAGCACTGCGGGTGGTGCTGCGGTTGGAGTGCTGCGAGGGGGGTTTCACGGGATGGACGTGCGTGAAAGACCAGCGACAAAGAGGAGGAACGGACGAGGAAACAAGTAAGAACCGAGGACGCCAGACATGACCTCGGTTATCCTGGGTTTTGATAGGAAAATAGATGAAAATAGTATACTGTATTTTGTTTGATGGTTGGTAGTCCAAAATAGGTCACTCAGGCGGAGGTGACCTATCTCCCCGCATAGACCTCAAAGAAAGTGCCCACGGGCCGCACGGGCAACAGGATCACGACTCAGTGCGTTCCAAGGAGGGGGTCCGGTGGGATGGAGTGTTGTGGGAGACCACCTGCCTGCTGAAAGACTCACGACTCACGACCCGCAGGTTGATGGTCCAAGGTTCCAAGAGTCATGGCGAATTCCGATCCCGGATCCGTTTTCGTACCGAACCTCAGGTATGGGTGCCACATGGTGCCACTATGTTCGACATTGACAGGTGCCAGCCAGTCGGGTCTGTACCGAACCTCTCAGGTTCGGTACGAAAACGGATCCCAAATGGGTCTTGACATGACATGACAGCAGAACTCACGGACCGGACACCCTCCCGGACGACCCCGGACGACCCCGGACCAGACGCCCCGGTGGGACCAGGGGCGGACGACGGCCACGGAGGACTCGGCTTCACCCCGCCTGTGTCAGGCCTCGAATGAGAGGAGGGGGTTTGATGTACCTCAAGAGTCCATACATCACCAGTACAAACCCATTGAGGGTGTTTTTTTTTTTTCCATTAAGGAGATCTCCAGTAAATGGTTTGGGAATGTTTTGGGACCAAATGCAAATTCTTGCCAGGAATATCCACGGGCAGCACTGGTAAGGCAGTTCTCGAACTGCGGTCGGTCTTTGTCACACGCGTGCAAAAACGATGCCGCTGCCTGTGGGAACTCAGTCTCCTTCGAGTTGGTTTTCGTGGGCCATACGAAGAAGGCGGATGCCTTAAGCGAGCAGCTATAGGAGTCCAACGGCCAAGAGTCAGCGACCAGGAAGAATCGTCGGGGATTCCAAAAGGGTTTGTTTGTCTTGCGAACGTCCTTGTGTTCTTCTCCAAGATTGTACTCATCAGCCCTGACACATTCAAAGCAGTCCAAAGCGCTATACATCGCTAAACTATGATCAGCCAACAGTGCTTCTGTTTCTGTCGCTTCTGCTAAGATGTTTGAATCAGGTGCCCCGTGTGTGAATCTCGGTGATATAGCAATCGAACATTACAAATCAAGGAATACCGAACGACAACTACATTCCAACACACCTGTAATATAATATAATATATAAGAAGGTGTGTTCTCCACAGTGCAGTGCAAATTTCTGTGTCGCTCAGAATCCTTTCCGGTGCTTGATCGTTGCCATCCGTCATGTGTTTCCAGCACATCCCGTACGACCGTCCGGTGCCACCGTCCAGGGGTCGGAAGATCTCCAAAACGGAAGACCCCCAAAACAAAGGAGTACACTTCAGGTTGGCAAGGCAAGAGACAATGACCATGTGAACAACCACTCGTTGTGCCAAACCTTCGTGCTTCGCTGGTCAGCCAATGTGCGGAATACGATGGAATAAGAAGGATGAGTTCCCGAAAATATCAAGCTGTGGCATATCCATGAATATCTCATATATATGTAGAAGAACTGACCGCAAACTTCGGATAACATTGGATAATCCCATACCCACCCCTATCCAGGAGGGCCCCGTCCAACTGAAATATCCCAATAAGGGGTGGGCAATGTGGGGTATCTATAATCCCTAACAGGTTCGGTATGACCGGACCTTCCTGGCACCCTCCCCCAAACATCCCCAAACACCTTCTCCGGGGGTACGACTGGAGCCCTAGAGAATCCTAAATTGTAATCAGAATGTGAACCCCATTGGGCCCTGCGTGTCGATCAAGCCCCAGTGACGGCGCTCACCACCGTTTGTGTGTCATCATCTGCAGCCTCGAGCGACGGATGAAGTGATCGGAACATCGATCGGAACACCACCGGTTGGAGTCGTCTGCGTCGCAAACCGGCGCTCTGTCCAATCCAATTTGGGTGCGCCTTTCCTTCATTCCATTGCACCTGAACTCACCATCTACTCACCGGATCCGAGCCCATGGGGGGTCAACCGGCCACGACGGCAAGCGCCAAACCCACGGACCGACCCGGGCGGACCTATCGGATCCATCGATGGGTGAACCAAGGAATGGTGTTTGGGCGACCCGAGTCCAGGAATGTCCTCTACTTCAGTTGGTCAAAATATGGAGCTGGACTTCTAGGGTTTGGGGTGCCTCACAGAGAAAACCAACCAGACCAACCAGGCTTTTAGCCTTTCCCTCTGTGCAGAAGCACTGGCTCTCGCAGTGTGTCTCTCAAAGAACACTACACGATCGGCAAAGCCCGGCAAATCACAGGTGAGGGACAAATAGAATACAACATGAAAAGCTGCTGCTGCTGCTGCTGCTGATGCTGATGATGATGATGATGATGATGATGAAGGATAAGGAGGACGACGGCGACGACTCAATCATGCCTCAAACCATTGGTTGGAGGTTGGAGGGGGGCCCATTCACACAATGCCTAGCCCAGTTGCCTCATGGCTTCAACTAGCAAGTGGGTCGGGAACTCCCAGGGGCTCTCTCCCGCTCCCTCCAAACCAGTCCAGGCACCAATTCGAGCTGCAAAAAGTCCGTCATCTTCTCGCTGACCTCGAGAGAAGCCGTGCTTTTTTCGCTCTAGTGATCCAGTGCGATCCAAGCCACTGTAAGTGAGGGTATCTGGGGATCAAAAAAGAGGTTCGTTCCTAGTTGGATGGGCCAACAAACAGTATGAAACCATATAAAACCTCAACTAAAACCTCATTATCCCTGTTGTCGATCCTGCGATCCAGTCCTGCTGTTCGGCTGCGATCCAGTCCTGCTGTTCGGCAGGACTGGCACCCTTGCTTTTGGTATCTTCAAATTTTTTCACCGCGGTTGCTTGAGGTCAGGAAACCATAGAAACGCCTACAGGGGTGGAATTCATCATCACTAGACCAGGCACTTGCAGCTCTTCAGCAGGTCGCCCGCATGGTCCAGGTACCATGCCCCAGGTGGTGGGATGTCCCCCCTCACAAAAGAACACCGAACAAATCCATCCAATACCCATTCAAGCGGAACCCCATGTCTCTCATACAAGAGAATCATGACGCTCATACATTTTGGCACCATCCTCTTCCAACGCCAACATTGAAGTGGCCATCGCGATCGGGGAGGGCATCTTGTTCCTGCAAGGCCTCTCTCGGTGGCTGCGCCTCTCGCGAGCCTGGTGCAACCCTGGGCATCTCTTGCGTACCGAGCAGCTGCAATGTTCATGTCCAAATCAGTCCTTAGAACGGAAACTGTTTAGCAGGATGGCTGCAAGTCTTGGCCAATCCCCAAGAAGCACCGGTGTCGGAGATGCTGGGGGTTTTGTTCAGGAGTCTAGTGGAACATGACTGCAAATCGGGTGTCCTGCTTTCTGCTCAGAACTTCTCTTGAGAAAATCTTCATGAAGCAAGCAACTGCAAATGTCCCACAAAAGAAATAGGTGTACACCATTGCAAAACACCCCATGTGAATTGAACTTGTGGTTGGGAACTGTCACCTCTACTGTCCGCAAAGCTGTGGCTTTGATCTTTTTGTCCGCCTATATATGTGCAGTTCTAGTATCTTCTAATTGTTACACAATAGATGCATTTTGTCGGATCATTGTGTATATGTATATATATAGGGTCTACCCTATTAGGCACATATAGGATCATATAGGCACCTCTGTTCAACATCGGCTTCCTTCGACAACCGTCTTCAGAAGCGAGAAAAAGAACAAGCTCAGTTTCTCATCCGTCTTTCCAAGAAAGACCAACATTCCCTGGTGCCATCGATTCGAGACAATAACGACGCCGACCAAGCGCCGAAGCACCGACGCACAGGCGCCGACGCCGCCGCACAGGCGCCGACTACGTCCCAGTGACAGGTGATGATCCTTCTCCAGGTACAGCTCATGGAGCTGGGCCAAGAAGGAAAGACCATACATCCTGCAAACAGAGTCTTATTCTTGTTATTTCCTTGTGGTTTTCGGCTGGTTTTGATATGCTGCTAGTCACTATAGTCTCTTTGTGTGTACTTTGTGTTTTGTTCGGATGGCGAGCCATTTCAATCCATTTCACGTTTTTCTGCAGCAGGCCACTGTTTTTGCACATGTGCCTTCGAGTTGGTGGTTTCAACCATCCTCACAACGTTGTACTTGCTCATACTTGCTCCAACCACTCGACCTCCAAACCGTGCTGAGAAGACTCTCCTGTGGATGGCTAGGCGCCCTCGCTCCGCTCCGCTCGCAGACATCCCTTCGCGCGCACGCTCGCTCGCTCGCCTGTTCGCGCGCAGGCGCAAACATCCGCGCGCCGTCCCCGAACAGGCGCAGGTCGCCTCATGAAGGAGAGGTGCTTGGGATACTCCGCGACCACCTCCCGGAACTTCTCGCTGCTCAGCTCGATGAGCTCCGTCTCGATCCTGGGTTCGGTTGTCGTGCGTGTGGTTTTTGGGAAACCTGTGGCCCTACGAAACGGTATACAAAACGATACGAGACGGTAGTGGCTTCACCGGTGGACCATGAAGATCATGAAGGATTTGGGAAAGGATTGGAAACGGCAAGGAGGCAGCACATCCAGCTGGTGTCTCTTACAGAGTCGCCTCAGTAGATGCGACCCCCCACACCACTCTTATTGCATATTTGTTGAATGCGCACGTACCCCGTCAAGGGGCGGTGATGGGGATGAAGTTCGAGGGTTCCATCATTTGGGTTTTGACTTGAGCAATTCTTCCTTTGAGTGATGTAGCAGGGCCAGGCTTTGGCCATTTGAGGAATGAAATCCCAGCGCGTGAGGCACAAAGAAGCGGACCTCAAGGTGAACAAGAGAGAGGATCAAGCCACGTTCCAGCCGGGTTCCAGCTGACTCCCATCCCTGTGATCTTTCTGGCCCCCCCCAGTCGTGGGCTTCACTTCCTCGACCGACGCGACGAGGTCTGCCAAAGGGCTTGGCTCGAAGTCGCCCCTGGTGCACCCATGGGGTCCACAAAACCACTTCGCAAAACCACCTCAGGGACGCTGACTTACAACTCACGGGTGGGACGACAACGAAGGAGATGGGGTGGGCAAGGTCCTGGCAAGGTGGAAAAGCAACCGAAACATTGGGATCCTGATCCTGGGAGATGCTGGCAGTTCAGTTTTCTTTCAAGAAGAGACCTTCTGGTGGGAGTGCAGTTTTGTTGCGAGTTCTGTTGAACTGTTGTGTCCTGGAGTGCTATGTCTTAAAGTGATCAATCAGTCAAATTGTGGGCAAAAAGACATGGAGTCCTGCAGCTTCCTTCTCCGTGTCCCTTTCGGCAAAAGACAAACAATCTCAAATCGCTGGCTTAGGTGGATGCTGTTCAAACAGGTATTGCCTGGGATTGTCCCATGGCATGGTCCTCACGACATGTCCTCACCCTGAAAAACAACCTGTTGCCAACACCACCCCAAAATCGTTCTCAACACGGAAGTGGAGACTTCAACGTGGATGCACCTAGGCTCTTTTCAATCCAAGTGCTCGAATGCATGTTTGAACATCAAGAAGTGCTTCAGTGCTTCCAACAAAGGATGGACATGTCATCTTTCTGGGGAACGCATCTACAGTCCAATGTCTACAGCATTAACGCATGATGCTCCCCGAAAGAAGGACCCCGTTTCAATCCGTTTCAGCTGGCGTTCAATCCCAGGATCTCGTTGGCTTTCACCTGTTCGAACTCCTTGGTCTCGTGCTGCATGTAGTCCAGGCTCCCTGATGAGGACAGGGCTGCGGACGTGGTCTGGTCGAGGCGGACCGGACGGCTATTTTGATCATCTGCTGAATCCTGAAGAAACCACACATTCATTCCGACCAGCACTTACTGGTGTTGGCATGCCAATTGATTTACTCCACCTCTTGAAGGCTGTTTAGCAACAAAACTCGTGTGTGATGGAAGTGGTTCAACCATAGTTGATTTTGTTACAGCAAGGCGTGAGGGTTCTCTGAACATAGGCAACCACCGACTCGACAATCTGTCAGAACAACCATCCCCACCAGCACAAGAATCTAAGAAGGAGGGAGAGGGGTGCATGATCCTGGCTTCCACGGAGGAAATGACACTTGGCAGAAGACCATCTTCTTGGATTTGTGAGCTTTTCCTGTATTCCTCTGACCATCTGCGCATCCAGGAGCGGCTTCAAAGCAGTGAAACACCCGGTGCTGATTTATATACATAAAACATCATAAAGCAAGTTCAGGTGTGGATGGCGCTACTTCTGCTTTCGTCAGGAGTTGCTAGTTGCTAGGCTAGTGACTGTCCATGAACAACAACTGCACGAAAGAGCCCCATTCTCGTGCACATCGCGCAATGCCCACGCCACGCAAACGGTTGCCGAAGTGCCACTGCTCAAGAAATACCTCACGTGAGAGGCTGACATGAATTATCTTTGCTGGCTGTCAATGACTTCATGGCGTGGCATATGCCGCTTACCAACGCTTGCCAACTGAAACAACAATGTGCATCTGCATGCTCTAGCGGTAGGGAACAAAGCAAAGCCCTAAGAAGGCTAAGCATACAAAGAAGTCTTGGCGTTAAAAAAAAGGTTAATACTAAACAATACATCTTTTGGTGGAGACTGATGAACACTGGAGATCTGCATCTGACAATGTCTGAAACCGGATCTCCACGCTCCAAATGGATCTTCTGAAGCCAACGAAGTCTCCACTCTACCCCCTCTCCCCGTGACCTCACCCACGCCGCCTCACGGCTCACGCCTGTCCGACACCCGACCGACGGACGAAGAACGCCACGCGACATGGACTTGCCCTCCTCACCGGCGGAGAAGAGGATGTCGGCGCGGCTCAAGGAGACTTGGCTGGGCACTTTGAAGCACACCTGGTGGCGACTGCGAAGACGCCGGCTGTGGTGATGGCGGTGACTGCGAAAAGCGGGACAGCGGGTATTTGGGTGGGTGGGGGGTTCCCTTCGGGAAGGCCACAGAATTTGAAGTGGAGAGTTGTGGATCCTTGACTTCGATTGAGGGGTGTGGGTCTTTGGGATTGTTTGGGGACCTTTCTCCGGCTGATTGGTTCCTAAGATCTTCTCACGCATCCAGGCTTCCAATATTCTTCATCGCCTAGCTTGACCGGGCTAAGCAGGAGTGACCTCAACATGGATGTCTTTCTTCTGGGCTCATCCAGATTTTAACCTGGGAATTGATCCCCACGACCACATGCTCATAGTATCCAGCAAAGGTTGAAGAACCCTAGTTCGACTATCCTATAGGTACCCTTGGTTACGGGTCCTATTTACGGTCACTTAACCTCTGTAGGATGCTCGCAGTATGCCCCCAACGACCACGACCGGACTTGCCTTTCGCATCAAGGCTTCGAACTTGTCCATCATATTCACAAAGAAGGGATGGACTAACAAGCGAGGCCTAGGCGTGTCGTGTCACACTGTCCGTCTCGTTTGCGTGCTTAATATATTCTACAGTCAAACGCGGAGGGAGAGTATGAGTATTTGTAGGTATGGGATGATAAATGGACCCCATGATGCAAAGCAACAAAAACAGAATGGAGCACTGTGGGATCTTTACCAGCCAGGACCTACCATGAGTTTAGGGCCTCTACGCTTCAGTTCATATCCCAAAAGACAATTATACTCTACAGTAGTCGTGTCCGTCAACGGCGTGTTCGGACACGGGGTATACAAACACCATCGTTCGACTGAGACTCGGAGCCCTTTGGGAATTGGAAACACCGAGACGACTGGGGCGATGTCCATTGGCCGACGGAGTTCCGATGTGTCAAGCGGAATGCCGCTGGTTGGGTGGGCGGAATGCGAAGACTCCAGCGAGGAAGCGCGATGAGTTCTATAGGGGTTTTATAGGGGGGAGTGAACTCCACACGGTGCTGTGTGTGGATCAAACTCAGACATCTACGCTGGTCACATGCTTCCCTGGAAGTACCAGTCATAAGCCATGGAACTCGACCTTCTCAAGACCGTTTTCCTTCACCTGCTGGGCCAGTTCCATATTTATGTGAAGGACCGGGAGGGTGATCCAATTAAAGTAGCAAAAATAATGCAAAGTAGTTATTAATTGTTCATCATTTGTTCAACCCATACATCCCAACTCTCTCCTCCTGTCAAACCCTTAGGTATTAAAGCATCACCTTCGGCCAGTTCCTATGCCCAACACGGTCACCCTAAGGGTCTGTCCCAGACCCTTCCGCATTCCGCATCTCCTTCCGCCTCCTTCCCGTCTCAGAGCCGCTTATTCAGCTCTGTCCGCAGTTCATTGTGCAGCGGTCCAGAGAGCATTCCAAAGAGTTTCACATCCTGAGCGGCAAGGACGGCATGATACCGGCATCACCAGAGGCATACGAAAGGCCCATCTAATCAACAAAGAAATACACACACTCATTCACCGGATCCACTCTCATTAGATAACTTTGCTTCTGCAGATTTATCACTGTGAACACGTGGTCCAATTACTATTGCTTCCATCTCCTCTGCAGTTTCCACTGGTTTCCACAGTGATAGGTGAGAGAATCGATGGCAAATCTCTCTCTGAGCACGTCCACCATCCAGCACGTCCATCCATCCACCCGCACACCATTCTAGATCGAACACATCTCCAAAGCGGCCGAATATTGGACGCTCTTCTCGGTGGTGGTGAGCACCACGTTGATATATCGATTGATTCGGACCTGACCGAGAACGGACCGAAGGAAAGACGGCGGAAAACGGCCTGACCGAGCGTGGGGCTGTGGCTGGGACCGGCCCAGCTTGGACTGACCGGTCGGCCAATGGATGATGCTACCAGCACCGAACCAGGTCTCCGAAATGGAGGGTTGGTTCCAGGGCCCTGTCACAGGTTTCAATTGGTGACCTGTTGGAGGTGCTGCTAGTCGAATCTTTCCATGATCTTTCTCTGGGTGGAAGAGACATCTTTTGGCTCAAGAGACATCTTTTGGATGACAAAGATTAAGATTCTGGCCACAAGCCATGATGTGTTGGTGTAATCATCACCATCATCACCATCACCATCACCTCTGGCAACAGTGAGCTATGAGCAAACTTCTGTCAGATGATCCTTTTCTTCACTCTGTGAGAACCAATAAGCCGTTCCCCCCCCCAGCAGGCTCTGAAGGTCGCTCTTCCCGACCGACCAACCTGAAGGTCCAAGGTGATCTCCCGCTGTCGCAGGAACTTGCGCAGGAGCCACAGCTGCGAGGAGTGCCGTCCTGTCATCTTCCGCAAGCTGGTGGTGGCCTGGCTCTCGTACATTTCTGCGGGACATGAGGTGCCGCGAGTAAGTAAGTAAGCCCTGGGGTGATGTTTCTCGACGCGGGCATGTGTTGGAGGAGATGGACTATGACCCAAACACGAACTGTCTGGGACTGCCATAGGACTGCCGATCAGTTGGGGTGTTTTTGGGGGTCAACCGGGCGGCATATATGGCAGTCCCATGGAGTGTCTGAAGGACATCGTGTGATCTGAAGAACGCAGAACGCATGTGAGAACCGCATCATGTCCGTCTGGAAAGGGGCAAACGCTCCACAACTGGCATCAACTAGTAACTAGTAACTAGCTGCATTCGTCCTGAAAACATCTAGAAGGCAATGGAATGCAATGGGAAACAGCCCTGCAAACAGCAAGAGGATTTGTTTTGGAAGACCCCATGCTTATCATTGTTGATCCATTCATTAGCGTAAAAACCAAAAAGAACTCTCAGACTAACAAACGTGACTTGAAGCTTATGTTGGATCCTCTCATCTGGCTCTTCCGAGTCTCAACCTGCATTCAACAAAAGAGATGAGTTCTGTGAACTATGACAGTTTTGTGAGAGACAAAGTAATCAGAGTAGGGAGACAGATCGTTCGCCCACCCAAATCCACGGTAGGAGAGGAGAACGTGGCCGCCCATCACGGCCTACCCGCCTGCCTGGCTGCCCCCCTTCCAAACCCTCGGCCCGTCGCACGTACCGAGCCGAGCGGCTCCGGTGAGGCTCGCCACGAAGGAGGAGAAGACTAAGAGCGCCTGGAGTGGCGACCAGCGACCGACCCAGTGACGGCCGACCGGCGCGAGACGAGGGAAGTGGAAGTGGCCGAAGTGGCTGCGGAAGTGGGGCCACTTCAAGAGGATTCAAGAGGTAGTTTGTTTTTAGGGCCGGAAGATCGTGATTCAGTTTTGGCAGTGAGCAAATGATATGCCCAACTTGAACCCTACACACTCCTACACGAATTACCTAAAAATTACAAACTCCCTTCATGCTGTATCTCAACTCATTCACACCCCGGTTTCTGCCGTTCCTGTCCAGTTCGGTCAGACCTTGACCTGTTCGCTGGAAAACGTGCCAAACGTGCCAACCCACCGGTGTCTATAGAGGCTTCCACCCGATTCATCTTCACTTCACCACCTCCCAGCCGTCCTAGTCATCGGACCCTTTGCTTTTGTTCAGCTGGGCAGCACAAAATGCTCAAAAACAGCCAAGTCTCTTGCCATGAATGTCAACATGGTCAACCATTCTTGTCATGGAATGCTGTCTTTGGCTGTGCCACCGGCCACCCATCCCCACGTCTTCCCAGCCATTCATCGAACAGGCACGAAGAGCAGCACGCCGATCGCGAAGCTGCGCTCCACCGTGTTCGTGGGCTGAACACCTTGGAGCGGCTGCTTCCGCCGTGCTCCCAAAAGCCCGGGTCCGTGCCATGCCATGGTTGCCATGGGTGCCTTCGCAGCACCCCCAAGTTGCTTTATCACTGATCACTCTTCTTCTTCTTCTTCTAATAGACCAGTGTTGCCCGTACCATCCGGCACTGGCCCTCTGCTCGCCCAAGGACTTCCGCTCGGACGGCTCCGGCCGAACCCGGCTCCGGCCGAACGCGTTCGGCCCAGGCGCTCATGGAGGCGGGAGTAAATTGAGTCAGAGACCAATGCATGCTAGTGGTGTACCTCAGGCGTCACGAAGTGAACTGAACTGAGGCGGAGGCTCCAGGGCTGGGAAAAGGACCTTAATGAGGCAAGCTGCCAGCTACTTAAGAAGTTCTATATATACATGTAAAACACATCAAAAGCTTTCCAGTTAAGTGTGAAGATGCTTTGCGCATGTCTGGGGGCCCCCAAAATGGAGCTCTCTGTTGCCTGTGCCTGGACACTATTTTCACTCAGCCCATAGTGCCCTGAGCCCTGAGAAGTTCAAGGCCCTGGGCCCTGAGTGTTTCAAAGGCCGTCCCCTTGCTGTGACCGCGGTGGGGCATGTAAACCCTGGTCCAAACGATCCAATCTCCAGGTCTGTGGAATGTCAAGTCCTCTCAGGACTTTTGTCGGGACCCGCATCCGCATCCTGCGAAAAAACCCGAATTGAATGGAAAGGAGAAGCTTTCTGGGAGCTACTCTTGGAATTGCCCCTTGTTCTTCTCAAGAGTTCACCCAATCGATCGTAGGCTCGAAGAAGAGACGATGATCGAACGACGTCCTCAACGAGGAGAGTTGGAACACCAAGCTCTTTCCGCGGCTCAAACGATCCATCAAGACGATCCTCACCTGTTGATACCCTCTCCATCCTCAAGTCTTTCTGGAAGGCCATCTTCCATCATCGTCTTCAAAACGAGTCGATGCGTACCACTCTAGCCGTCTTAGCCATTCTTAGCCCATAATCACTCTCGACACCCTTCTTCTGACTCACCTCAGCCCGTGAAACAACTCCAAGCAGCTTGTACAACAACTGGTCATCCATGGGGTCCTCACAATCGTGGTGTCCAAACTCCACCTGAAGCCCGAGCAAGGCGCCCGAGTGAGGCCGCGGGTTGGTCAGTCAGGTGTTCTTCAGATTTTCCTTTATAGACCTTGGAGCTATGATACTAATGAATACTAATGAGCTGATTTCAGTCGCATTTTGGATTGGTCAAGTGTCACGACTTTGACCAATCATGAGAGAGAATCTACCAAATCAGGAGACCCCTTTCCAGGACGACTTGGAGATGAACAACTTGTGTGCAAATCTGCTGGGGTTTCCCCCCCCAGTCTTATGGCCTCCCATGGCTCATGTGCCTGTGGACCTCCCCAGAATCCACGCGGTCCGACGGCTCACGTCGCTGAACTCAGCCAGGGTGAGACTCCACCAGGGCAACAGTCGATCTGCGACATTTGCTGTAGTCACGATCCAACAAGCCCAATATGATCCAATATAATGTGTATATATATATATGTATATATATATATATCAGTTACTGGAGTCTCCCAACTGATATGAACCAACTGGGTTAAAGTAAGTTATGTTATTAAACATCTGATCTCCTCCAAAATCCATCATACAACTTTACTGGATTGTGGGGTCCCTCAGATCAGGGAGGCGAACACCCGGGCCCATCCGTTGAAACATGGAGATAAAACCCATCCGAGAAGGACCTGCTTGGGTGCAGCTCAAATGAACATACGCAGAACACTGCAGTAGGGTGTTGGAAGAAACTGCAAAAGAACACAGACTTATCGCAATGGTTGGGGCACCCAGATTTCCGGCTCTGGAATCGAGGCATCTGTCCCACAAGGAGACCCTCAATTGGCCTTTTGGTTCCCTTTTTGTCAAGGGCAACTGAGGTTTGACGACCCAGCTCGACTGGCCCAAGCGACCGCAAGCCAGGAGTTCGACTGTGAAGGCGGGTTGCACCCAACCTGAGCTGAGTTGAGCTGGCCGACCATGCACCATCCGCCAGATGTTGGAACTCCGGACGGCGGTGTTGCGCATCTTTTTCAATCTCAAGTAAGTATAATCATTATAGGTAAGTAGGATGATCTGAACAACATCTAAGAGAGATGATGATGAATCTTTGACAATATAATGCTTTTCAATGGACCATGGTTGTTTGGTATTATTCTTTGAGGTGGGACACTGAACTCTAAACATGTTAATCAATTATTTGAATTTCCAATCATGTTGAAAACCATGGCAAAACAATTGAAGCAGAACGTAGTGACAAACATTTTCCAGCACAAGCAGTTTTCTCTGGTTTCCAACGTTTCCAAGCACATCCACAGCTGAAATTCCGACACCGCGCGGGTGTCTATGTATATTATGTATGTGGGTCTATCCTCTGCCCACTCGAACTGGTCACCTGCCTGATTCTTAGTCTTTCAGAGCCCGGACAAACCGTTCTTTCAACGTCTCCGGTGCGGGAACGGTTGGTTTGGGGAGTGCTTTGGGGAGTGCTATTGGTTTGTGCATCCAGCTCATCTGTGGTGTGAACAAGTCCGAACAGTGCGAGAATAGGGGCCATCCAGGTCAGGTGTACTGGAGGGCTAACAGTAGTACGATGCCCAAAGAACAGCAACTGAATTGGACGGAGCGGCCAAATACCAGGCGCAAGCGATGAAGTGGTTGATGAAACAAATGAGAATCAAGAGTTTGACAATGTCCAAGAGCCTCGGCATGGAGTCGGCATGGAGCCATGGTCAAACCCAGCAGGAACTGCGAAAGTCGGAGGTGACAACTTGATTTTGGTCCAGCAAGAGCCTCAATACATCATGGACTAGTGCTGTGGTAAGGTGCTGGGGACCGTTGGTAAGAACAAGCATCACTTTGAGAACCAGGGACCAAACTTCCAAATGATCTCTGGGCAGTGCTGGTCTCTCTCAAGGTTTTTGCATGTTTTTGCCATGCCATTCGACCTCTCACCAGGCCTCTGGTTTGACCAATCTCCGACGAAACAAGGTCGAGTCGATTGCAACCAAAACAGCTAGCTTCTTTCAAAGAATAAAAGGAAGGGGAACCATCCCCTGCTTGTAAACGACCATGTCTTTTTTCCAGGGGACCTGTTCCACTTCCTGTTCTTGGTTTCGGGGTCGTTTCCCCAACTCTTAGGGTCGGTTGTTGAGTCCAACTCGGTCCGGTCCTGGTCCAGCTTCTTCGGACCCAAGACTCAGGGTGACCAAGAGGTGACACCCAGTGGACCCAGTCGCAACGTCCAGTCTCACCGAGTGTAGGAGCCCATGAATCATGGGGAGTCTTCGTCCAATCCCTGGGACACTTCGTTGGATTCACCAGGATTCCAGGATCTCATGCAATCCTGTGACCATCATCGCCATCAACACCATCACTCAGGTCTATCCGATCTATCCTACCGACGGAAATCCCCGTGCTTCCGACGTGGTCCCGACGCATCGCCTCTTGCGCCTCGCATCGAATTCGTCCCACCGGTTCCGTGCGGCTTCGTTGGCACCGAGAACGGCTCGGGCGGGCCCAAGGCACACGGAAATGTGCTCGGAATCCACCTGGTCCTGGCGGGCTTTTCGGAAAACCCACTTCTTTCGTCAGGTGGTAAACCATGTGGTCGTTCTCCAACGTCGGAGAAGAAAACGTAGATGTGAAAAGAATTCAGAGATGCTCAGCATGGTACTTTACATCTCTTTACATGGATATGTTATGTGATGATATGTTCCAATTCAATCCATGTCACAACCGTTTCCCACCCCAAAAAGGACCGTGAACAAACCACCGTGACCGACAAAATGAACCACGTCTCTCCTCTCTGCCCCATTCCGAAGGACTCCCGATCGGACCGGCGGAAACGCACCGTACTTCGAGGCGGCAGCAAACCATGTCAGGTTGACACCCCCCTGTTGGTAGGAATCTGTTGACCCGAGGTTCATTCGGTTTGTGTCCCGGTTCGAGGTCTCCACAGTCTCATGTCAGACCTCATCTTTCCGAAGCTTCGTATATTCTTTAATGACCGAACTGGATATCCCGCTTTGAGGTCACAAAAGGGCCTTAAGTAGGGTCACAACTGGCCACTTAGGGGCTCTAAAAGGGTCATGAACTGAAGAAGCTGGTGGATGATATTTGGGTTGTGAGGCAACTTGGAACCAAACTTCCAGTTTTGGAATCCCATGGTCCAGCACATCAGTTATACAGATACATATAGATCATATAGTGCATGTACATCCTGCTGGCATCCCCCAGAGGATCCGATCGAACTGGGCGAGGGCGAGGTGGTTTTGCCACCTCCGCCCCATCCTTCAGATGCTCGGAAGTTCGCGAACTTCCGAACACCTCTCTGCCGTAGGAACCCTGGAGTCTAAGACTGGAGAAGCCTGGAGGTCTAAGACTTCCATCAGCTGACGGCGTTGTGTTCACACTCCGACTCACTAAGATGGAAGTGGAAAAAATCATGTTTCAAAAGGAACCTGGTATTCCAAGATGCCATGCCATCCACTTCGTTTGTGAGTCAGAGTGTGTTGTTTTCTTTTTTCTCGGAGGGGTGGGACCTTGTGCCGACCACACATTGTTCATATCGTCAGGTCCGAGGGCCTTGCATTTGATCCTTCCAACAACAAGGGTCAGTCAGTCCACCATCCCCCTTCCAGTCCTGCAGCTTGTTCCTCGGCACAGGACACACTGAGGTGGTCCGTCTTTTTGGTCTTTGAGGACTACAACTCCGGTTTCCATCCGGAGGAACCTTGTTACAAACCTTTTCTATCTGTCTTTCTTTCTTTCTTTCTCTCTCTCTCTCTCGTTCTCCCTCTCTCTCTCTCTCTTTCCTCCCTCTGTTCCTGTTCACAGCGACACTTCGCACTTCGCTCCTATCCATCATTTGCGAGAAACATTTCGTTCTACCCACAACACTTAAAATGCGTTGCTTTCTTTTTTTTTTCCCCCCTGGGCGCCTTACTATGTGAGTGCTTGTGACAATATACGTACTTAGTGCCCCACCTTGTTCACTTTGGAGCCTTGTTCTGCGACATGAACCTCTCTGAGCACTGACTCAGTTGCTCCTCTCATTGGTCACCCAACCACCTAGCACTGTACAACACTCTCATGAGAAAAGGGCCGGTCATCTACCGACCTGTCATCTGCACGACCGGATCCGCTACTCGTCGTACAGTCTTCGCCCAAGGAGCCGCAGTTTTCTTAAACCAACCGGCCGCGCGGAAAACATTGCTTTATTCTAGCGACCAAGAGCCAAGTCAAGGAAACATGGAATTACCGAACAACAGCCAATGACCCAAGCTCCCCCTGTCCAAGCTTGCAGGACATGCTGAACATTGTGCCCGAACTGACTATGGCGTGCGGATTGCGTGTGACATGCCTTTTGCATCTCCCACATGTGGCTCCTGCCCACCCGTCCCCCTTGTGGGTAGAAAGCAGGTTCGTTTCGCTTCCAAAAGCAAAAAGAGCGATCACACAGGACTCTCCGGACTCCGCTCCTTGACTCCTCCTAATGACTCCTTATGAGTCCGTAAGGACCTGTGACCCAGGGCGGTGCGAATGGACTCCGTCACCGGCTATGCTTCGGACCTTCCCAGCCACCTGCTACCCAGGCCACAGGAGCTGCCGCAGCTTCGCCAAGCGCAGCAGGCGCAGCGTGCGGAGCACCCGCAGCGCGCGGAGCATCTTTCCCGCACGCATGAGCCCAGCGCCTGAGGGGATGGGTGGGCACCGCCGCCCAAGGCAAGGAATTCGGAAGAGGAGAGTGTGGCGTGCGTGAAGCCAAGGTGACTCATGGCGTGAGAGTGGAAGGACAAAACATGAAAAAAGAGAACAAGCTGTAGCGGATGGCAAAAGGATTGGTTGAAAGGAAGAGTTGCGGGAAACGGTGGCTCTAGCTGCCAAACTCAAGTTCGTAAACTTTCTCTTGATCCAGACTCTGATTTGATGTCTCACGGGCAAGGAGCGGGTGAACTTGAGTTTCACACAGCGACGATAGACCATGCACCTCTATTTTTTGAACACAGTTGAACAAGGAAGTCATTAAACCACAGTTTTCATCTTCATGGAGCACTTTCATCACCCGGATCAGGTCAACGTAGTAGTTTTTCTTTCTCCCGTGCTCGGTGTCCGGTGCAGCTCCTCTACACTCCAAACCGCCCAGGTGAACCCGTGGCAAACGCGTACAACCAAATACAACACGCAAGTACAACATCCAAACGGCACAGCAAAACTGACCGAGGAAAGGAAGGGTTTGCTGTGCTCCAGAATGGTTGCACCAAGGCAAGAATGACAAGAATTTGGAATACTTGCCAAGAGGATTTGTAAACAAAGACCTGAACACACAAAGATATCAATATCCATACAATTCCATACACAATCATCTCAAACAATTGCTCGAAACAGGCCTCTCAATTGGCAATCCACAAACATCAACTTCAGGCAAGTTGGGAGCTTCTTCGACCTCACCACCTAAAAAAGGAGACGAAAGAGAGCCGAACTTCCAAACAAAGCAAGGTGCTTTTGCCCTCCTCTTCAGAGATGAGCGCCAGAACGATGATCCAATCAATGCTCACCTTGGGTACAAGCATGGCGCCACGGCCGAAGCTCGGTGGTAGTTTAATTAAGAGACATCCCCAGGTTCACATCCAAAAGGTTTGATGTCTTTTCTGAGGCTCTTCTAATATGTACCTGGACCCGACTTCACATGTTTCCTGGTGACAAGTCCGGTGCCCACATTCACCACCTGTCGGTTTGGCCCACTGAGACTGTTCTTTTGGGGGGGCCTTGGTGGTGAGTGACCCTCCGGCGGACCGAACGTACTGTCCCAAGAACGGTGCACGGTGAACGGGAGGGTCGTTCCAGTCTCAAGTGGGTGCCATGCGGTTAAAAAAACGGCCACCTTTATAGAGAGGTTTCTCTGGCTCAAATGGGTGTTAGGCTATAGGCCTTTTTGACATCTCTTTTTGTTTGGCAGTTGTTGATGGTCTCAATAGGTTGGAACATGTTGGAACTACCAGTTCAGGTGAACTTCCATCAATCTCGAAGAAAAAAGAAAACAACAGGTAGTGTGACGTGTAGTCACATCTAGCCCCAGGCACGCCCAAATGTCCTAAGCCACATGAAACACCCGCTCGACAAACACCCACTCTCCGCCCCCGCGGACCGCGTTCTCCGAACTCCACGGTCCGGTGGCGATGATCACGTCGAGCGGGAACCACGTGAACAGATACCTCCGGCCGGTGTGCCCGGAACGGCGTCCAGGAACGACGTGCCCGGCCTGGAGCCTTTGGAGCCCAGAAACGCCATGGGAGAACAACAGGTTGCAAGCAGGAAACGAGGGGGAGCTTTCAACCAGAGATGAATTTGAGCTTTCCCAAGACAGGACATGGAAATTCCACGTTGACTGTACCTAGCACTTCCTGTCGGGGTGCCCCTTGTTAGACCTGTAATGAAGTCGTGTGGAATCCAGGTGACCAACGGAAGCAGCTGGTACGTTGTAAAGGCTTGAATCCGAAGTGCGTCTGCAAGCTGCTGACACCCGATTATGGCCAACCTTCCATGGCGATTATGGCCTAGACCTACCAAAAACATGCTGAACCGAGAGACAAGGCGGAAAAGGAACATGGTGGAACCAACTGCAGGATGTACCTTCCAATGCCCAGCCACGACCTGTCTGGGACTGCCATAGGACTGCCGATCAGGCCAGGGGTGGTTTCGGGGGCCAATGTAGGCATATATGGCATACATGGATATACATGGAGCATCTGGGAATGAGAAACTCTCCAAGTTCCCTCTTCTAAGATGCTACTATTTCCCGCAAATTCCTTCAGGCCACTTGACAGGGAACCATCTCACCCTTCCTGGCCCACCCCACTCGCCCTGCCGCCGCTCTGTAGTCTGTCGAAACGAGCTGCTGCTTGGCGATCTTTCGAAGGCTCACCACCAAGGTCCCATCGCGGGCGTAGTAGCCCACGCAGAAACATGCCAAGATGTCCAAGGTCCAAAAGCCCAACGTCACACCCGTCATCAAGGAGAGAAACACGTTCGGTGCCTGCAGAACGAAGCGGCGAGCCAGGCAGACTCAGGCAGAACGGCTAGGCTATTATAGAACCTGGCTATGGTGTTTTGGCTTGTCTTGAAAGTTCAGGAAGCATGAGCTAATGGGTACTCGTTACTTCATCCAAAATGATTGATATGTTTAATCACGAGAACTTTGAATTGTGCCAGCAAAGGGTGGAGATGAGAGGCAAGCAGTGTGGCATCTTCTTTTCTCTACTCTTGCTGCACTTGCCATGTCCGGCAGTTACATGAACCCCTCAAGGAGCAGGCATTGACACCGCCAAGGCCATTCTTCTCCAGGCTGGCCAACAAAAAGAAACCACCCAGAAGCAGGACCCTCCTGGCCCGGCTGTTTGGAGACCAACTTTGACAGGTGGTGAACCCGGGCGCACCGGACTTGTCACGAAACATGTGAAGTCGGGTCCAGGCAAAAGTAGGACCTGCTTTCATGGAAGTTGGACCACCCCCCAGGACCTTCCAAAAACCACCGAGTTCTTTCCGCACGTTTCGCTCAGCTCAACGAAGGAGCTCACTTTTCTCGCTGGGGCCGACGAGCCCTCCGAAGCAGCGGCCGAGTTGCCAAGGGAAAGGCGGTGTACATGGGGATCATGATGAGATCGTAAAGGAGAATGAGCACCTCAAGGAGAATGAGGAAGCGATTTCGATCGAAGCCGATCGGTTTCTGGGGGGATCTCCAACCAACCAACACATGGCATGGGGTGTTGTAAACAATTTTCACGTGTTCTTTTGCCAATACTAAACCGCTGAGCACGGGGTTAACGGCACCGTTCGCATGGCAGGTGCCACGTCCAAGCGACGTGGACGACGTGGATTCCGCAACGGAGCTGGATTCCGGTGGTTGTTTCATCAAAGTGAGTGTCTACTCTTCAGATTCCACGCTCTCGGATATACAATATGGATCCACAGACCTCTTGAGAAGGTGATTGGAGATGATCTATGTGGGCTTCAAAGTTTCCAATTACCTTCTGAGAAGGTATGTGGATCCCCAGAGTGTATGTCTAGGGACACCCGAGGGGAAGGTCTAAATGTGAATATCTGGGATCCAGTCCACCATGTCCACCAGTCCCTCCCCTCTCCACCCAACCAGTTCACTATAGAGACTGACTGCCCACCGGAGTGACGTCCCGCGCCCCCAAACAAGCGACCTCCCGAGCCCCCCCCGAACCCCAAACAATGAGGTCCCACTCCTCCCGGACCGAAACGAAGCCAGCCGAGCGGAGCGAGCGAGAAACCGAGGAACTCCGGTGAGATCCCAACAGATCCGCTTGGGGCTGTTGGGGCTCAACACCCACCAGGGCGTTTTGGCCTTCGCCAACAAGAGCCGCTCTTGCTCCAGCTCCTGCGAGTCAAAATACGAAGCGGAGAGACATGGCTGGCAGCTGGGCTTGGGTGTCAGGCAGGTGTTCCTTTTTTTCCGGAACCGGACCAGGTAGAGATTCAAATGGCTCGCCAGGTAGAGAGTCAGATTGATGGCAAATGGACGAAAATTCGGGAAGTGATGGGGAAGTGTCAATGATTGGAGAATTGTCCGATCATGTATTATTGAAAAACAGGTCCAGAAAACGAGACACACCGCATGACGTCTCACGACAGCATGGGGAAAAACGACACCATGCACGCCGACACATCTCAACATGACTAGCACCTATAGTGATCTCTCAAGCAACATTGACTCAACTCTAAAACTCTCTACGACCAACACCCGTTGAGGATGAACGTCATGATCGGGATTGCTCATGGCATTGGCTCTTTTTCAGGACCCCCAAGAGCGGACCCAACAACGGACTCCAAAAGCGCACGACTTTAGGGCCTCTGAAGCACTCGGAGCCGTGGTGAGTTCCCCCCCGGTGAGCTCCGGCGGTGGAACCGCCGCCCAAAACGGCGGAGAGCCCGTGCCACGGTGGGATGGTGGGGGACTACATGTGGCTTACACTGGGCTTGTTGGGGTGATGGTGATATACAGTAACTCCAAGTCCCAGACGCGACCTTTCTGGGGCCCCCGAAACCCCGAACTGGATTTCTTTTTCCAATTTGGTCATGACTTTGGTCATTGTGCAAATCTGTAGCTATAGCGTTTTTTTTTGCAGGAATGGGATCCGCGGAAGGAGTCGATGAGACGAAGGGTTCCCCCCTTACATGGCCACCAGAGGTGCGGCGATGATAGGCGCCGCACCAAGGCCCAGAAAGAAAGGCCCTGTAAATATAAAGCTGATTGAATATAGGGGTGCACACAGGGGGGTTATACAGGGTGTGCCTCACCATGCCTCACCATGCTTCAACTGGCTAACGGTGCCATTTGGCGTATCGACCGGGTGGAACCAAACAGAAAGAACCCGCCTTGGGTGGTCATGAGGTCTTCCGACTCCTCCTCTTCCTTCCTGAGGCCGCAAACGAAGGGCTCGCTGGGCTTTGGGCTTTTCTTCTCCCCCGGTGAATCGCGCGCCGAGCCGACTGACATGGACATCATGGATCGTCGTTTTTCAGGGTCCATGTGGTCTGCAGGTGGGTACAAGCCAAATCACCATGTTGCTTCTGTTGCGCATCGATATGGCGCAAACATACTAGTAGGAACTCTAGAGGAGTTTACTGTATACTCCTACAAACACACCATGGCACCCAAACCAGCAGGCCGTGCTTGTTTGAATGAATCGCTCATGGCCGTTGCCCCACCGCTTGCGATCAACTGGTTTTGATCGAAGACATCCAAGAATCCCAAACGAAACGCTGTCTAATACATAAGATCCACCAAGAAAAACGCACTATATGGGAGTTGATCTAAATTCCTTTATCCGGGATCCGTATATACCAAGACACCCTATTTAAGGGGTGTCTAACGGTGTCGAACTTGATAGCCCCGAAAAGAGGTTATATGAGGGGTGTCCATCGAACCTCTGAACCCCGGCCACCCGGCCGTACACCGTTCGGTACCGTACCACCGAAACTCGGTTCGCTGGGACGACCGTTTCGGCCCGGCTGCCGAACCGAGGGTCTAGTCACACACCGAACCGGTTTGGAGGTACGACTGGAGGTGTAGGGGAACCTATCAAGTCAACAAGACCACACTTTCATGCTGACCTGGGAGGAGCCTGGGAAATGGGCGGATGGCGCATGGACGGTCTCGCTTGGTCTCTACGAATCGCACACTCCGCGGTATGTGAGATCTAGAAGGTTGGATGCATCAAAGGTTCAGGCACATCGCAAAGTTCTGAGCTTTGGTGTAGGTGCTCCAAAGCTGAAAATGCCTCAGTCACGCCGTCGGAACCCCCCCATGTTTTGGGGCTCCACTCTGTCACGACGGGACTCATCAAAACAGGAGCACCCCGACTTGCAACACCCAAATGGCTCCCAAAGGATTCATGGTGGCGCAAGTGTGGCCTGGCCTACATTTGGTGCTTTTATATGTCACATGGATTGAATGGGGCTGGGTTGCAAAAGTAGACAATGGGAGGACCAAAGAAGTTGGTCATGACGAGAAACACCACCAGTCACTGTTGGTCAAACTTCATCTATCTTGGATGATCTCAGTGGTTTCTCTCCCTCTTTGCTCTTCCCGCACCATCGAGCAAGTAAGATCAAGAATAAATCAAGAACATACTACATATGGCAGGTCCTAGTATCTCCGACAGTCCTAGATCATGTTACACACCTTTGTAGCAGGTCCTAGAAGAAAATCCAGACGCCCCAGTCGGACCCGTCCCGCCTTGGCGAGCTGGGTGATTCATCCCCGCTGCCATGACCTGAAAGGGACGCGCGCGGAGAGGCCGGCCATGAGAGGCCATGAGAGTGGAGGTCAGATCGACCTGTTAGGTCCCCAGACGCGACCTGTCTGGGACTGCCATAGGACGGCCGATCAGGCCAGGGGTGGTTTCGGGGGCCAATGTAGGCATATATGGCAGTCCCATGGAGCGTCTGGGATAGAGTCTGGGGGATCTCCAAGGTCCAAAACGGATGCGATGTGGACCTCCTCAGCGGTCGGATGCGCAGGTTGAGCGGTCGGTTCTCAGGATCGGGGGTCAACCAGCGGCTCGGCTCGCTGCCGTACGGTGGTGAGACGGTTGGAGGTGCTTTTCTGCACGAGCCTTCGAGCATTCAACATACCCTAACATACAGTACCCTAAGAATCCGGGCCCGAACCAACAAATAGGGTTTGGTTCGGCCCCGGACCCCTGCGAAGAGGTTTGGTCCGACCCCGGGACAGCCCGTTCGGATTCTTAGGGTAGGAAGGACCAGTCAAATCACAGCCGTGCATCGCCGTGTGGTTTCAAACAGCATGAGTGGCCACGAGGCTCGGAGGCCTGCTATCGGCCCGCCCGCTCTTTGAGCGGCCTGCTATTCCGTTTGAGGGAGGTGTTGCTATCGGCCTTCCGGTGGCGTCGGGGATCCTTGTCATGTGGGATGCGAAATCAACGGGTTCAACTCTTCAAAGGGATGGGGTGGTGGAATCTACATGTTTGTGGAATACCACTCCCCCAAACAAACTCTACATTTGTGTGACCCGGTCCCGTGATTATACAAACATCATCGCACCGCTCTCGTGTTTACTGCCAATACGGTCGGGTGGACACAGAAACAATGACAGGTAACTTTTTGTGCCATCGTGTGCCAGCTGAAGTGTCTTACTGCAGTATAGATCTTTGTAGTTCTGATTCTTCTACCTGCTCTGCCAATTCGTCTCCCCAAATCCATCAGATCATCTTTCATTCACTCCGGGCCATTTGTAGTCCGAGAGTTCTCAACCTCAAACCTCCAGTCAAACCGATCCAGTCCTCTGCCCATTTCCCGGTTGCCCCCGCGGGGGTTCCGCGTGGGTTCCCCCACCCGCGCGGAACCTCTCAGGGCTCCAACCCGAGCCTTCGTTGTCCTCGACGTTCTCCTCGGGGTTCTCCTCGGGGTTCTCCGGGTTCTCCGTTGCCGTCCACGAGGCCTTTAGCTTCTCCACCTCGGTCGAGAGGGGTCGACCCGAGCAGAGAGTCTCTGCTCCGAAGAAGGGGTGGCGCGCGGCACGTTGGAGTAGGACAACCGTTGGGTCTGACTCAGTCTGACTGCAAGGTGCCTTGTTCTTCATTACATCATCTTGCAGGTGTGTGCAAGACTGAGTCAAATCATGCTACAACCATCCAAGCTGCTGAAAGAAACGCCGGGAATCACTGGGAATCACGCATGATGCAATTTCATGCAATTTCGCTCAAGAACAGTTAATTAAGGACAATGACAACACTTTTTCGTCTAAAAACAGCGGAGATCGTGCAAGTCGAACTCGACGTGGTCGGCTCGGGAGGCTCGGCTGAGCCGTGGGAATCCCCAAACGCTCGAAGGAAACGAGTCGAAGAGTGTTGAAGCTCAGAATCCTGTCCATGGCAGGGGTCGGACCTGACCTCTTTGCAGGGGTCCGGGGTATCAAAACCCTATCTGTTGGTTCGGGCCCGGATTCTTAGGGTTTGGGCTTTTTCAGAACGGTGTTCTTCTGCTTTGTTGGCACATGTTTTGCTTCTATTGAGGTGATTGAGCTTGCATTTGATGGATCAGAGTTCGACATAGTTCGACCATGTTACCATGCTCCGTGAACGATTGCCCCTTACCAATCCTGTGCCTGCTTCTCATGGGCTGCTAGAAGCTTTCCTTCCGCATCCTGCCACATGTTCCAGTTTTGGAGGAGACTTCAAAAGGAAAATCGTATCAACTTTTGATCCTTTCTCCACATGCAACATTTTCTGCAATACATTGCAATAGAGTAGTCCTAGTTGAGCCCAGTCGGAGTCCCAACAGTCCTATGTGATACAGTAATAATATATAATAATTGCAGACTTCTATCATCTTCTATCCATTCTGGAATGGCCATTAGGAAGCCATTGCATGGTACCAAGGACTAAGAAGAGTTTGGAGACTGCACCTGGACAGCCTGGACAGCCTGGACACCTGCATCTCGTGATGCGGGCTACTCCGATGCTCGCCCACAAACACATGTCCCGGCTTCTTCAATTTGACCTTTTGAAGGTTCCTAAGTGACCCTTAGGAGGCGTCGCGTGACTGAACCAACCAGGTTATCAAGTACGGTCCCTTCCACTCAAAGCGGGTTGAACAGTACATGGCTGGATGGCATGTCCCGAGTTCGGAGGCCTTTCCTTTACGAGGTGTGAGGGGGCTTCCACTGATGGTCGTGTGGATCGAGCAAATCGATCGTTCACCGGTGGAACCGCGGTGCGTGCGCCGACCCAGCGGTGGAAGGCCGCGTGGGAGGGCAGGGCAGGGGGTTCTCATTGTCCCGGACAGCAAAACTGAGCAATGGAGAAGTTTCTGGTGCTTCGAAGAATTCAGTGATCCAGTCCTTCTGATCAGCATCTTAAACAGATCGCATCCAAGAAGCCAATCGTTATAGTGGATTGAGAGTAAGTAGATGCTACAATCCACAAACGGTGGTTTATATATTTATATATGTGGACCCGCATCTAAACTATCTACTGCCAAAGACGTCTTTGGAGTTTGTGCCATCTAAGTGCTCCGAAACCACTGTTTACGGAGACATCCACGTCACTAGAGTCCCTGCGTGCCGACACCGCCCCTCATCGACGACGTTTACGTCCTTCAATATCTCTGCGACGAGACTTTGGAAATCCTCCATCACGCCCGGCGACGGCCTACGGTCTCTGAGCCGACATCCACATGGCAACAGCGTGTTCGTGGCATGCGCGAACACGTATGCCCTTTGGGTAAACGATCTCCACTGAGCGACTGTTCCTGGTGCTTGGCATTTGGTGCCAATGCTTCTGGGGAAGCAGCTTCGACGTCATTCCCAGGGACATGGTGGACACAAGAAGCTTACCAGCACGTCCTCGCCCAACAATAGATAGAATGAGATCTTCTCAACCACGTGGCCCTTTGCTGAGACCCGATATTTTTGGGTCTCATCCATAGTCGACCTACTCCATCGGAGGAAAGAAAGCACCAAAACCGATCAGGAGGTCTTTCATGGCATCACAAGCCCAACCCTTCCCAAATAATCTCAGTAAGACGCGAGTAATCACCGGGTCTCTCTCCACAAAGGTGGGGGGTTCAAACATTTCCGCTAAATGTATGTCTGCCGGCGCCAGTGATTTTGAGAGTTAGAGGCTCTGGACCCTTCGTTGAACCCTTAGCGATCACGCGTGTGACCGATCGTGCGTCAACGCTGCGATGGTCCACCGCACCATTGATGACATTTCTCCTCTTGTATGGTCGACCAACTTGCTCATCGTCCTTTTTTTCCGTACCCTAGGCAGTCACTGCTTCAGGCAATGGCGCTTGCGTGCACAGCACGTTCGACAGCGGTCCACCGTCTTCCGGAAGCCGCCAGCGTCGCCCCGTCAGGTTCGCCACGGAGGTTCCGCGCCCCGCCCCATAGAGGTGCGCACAGCGCCGCAGCAGCTGTCGAACCGCCGCCCGCGGAAACGCGGCGGGAAACGCGCCGCCGTGCGGCGTGAGCGAGAGCCAGAGGTGTGAGCGAGTTTGCTGCAGGAAGCGGAGCAAGGAGGAGCTCAGAGGCAATGAGGTTGGAAGAGAACGGTCCAGGTTGATCTTCACCAGACTGACCTGACCAGACTGGGCTCCCAGCAGAATTTCAAGCTCTCAAAGGGATCTGTGATGAACCCTTTCAACCGCAGGCTTCGTGTAGCAAACTGCTTATAAGATCTATGCCCAGTACCTGTCAACCCCACAACTTGGAGTAAAAACGCGCACACACTCAGATCCATGCCCAAGAGCTTTATCAGTTTGGAAGTTCCCGAGAGCTAGTTGCTGATTACATTAGACCTTGACTTGGCGAAGAGTCCGCAAATTTATATGGTTCGCAACAAGTGCATTTGCCCGTTACTGCAGTAGCACTTTACGAGAAAAGGAGGGTAACAGCTTGGGAACATCACAAACGAAAAAGAATGATATGGTCACCAGCTGCGACTTATTATACACCCAGGTGCCCCACGGGCATTGCAGGTACGTTTACCTGATCATCCAGGGTGGAGCTTCGTTGGCAAAGGCCACGACTGGAGATCATTGGAGATCCCTCTGCCCCCTGCGAGTCTGTACCAGCTTGGTTTGAATTATTTAAGGGTGGAATGATTCACAGTGTGTTTTACTTAGACGATGTGGAGCTCCTTTTGAACAGGAGGTGACACACACACACACACCCCTGATCAAAGCTGTCGAAGATCAGCTTCCCAAGCTCTTCCCCAAAATTTGGAACTGTCACCCACCAGGCAAGATCAACCTCTTCCAGATCCATCCAAGTGCCACCATCTTCCACCTGCCCCGCGCCTCTTCCAACTCAATCGCTTGCATTCGTAAGCTGGAGATCGACACCACCTCTCCTCCCCTTTGCCCGTGTCGCACCGCGGCGGCCGGCGCGTGCTCATCGTCTCCCAGGGCTGCCCGGAGCGCGACCACGTGAACGTCGGGGCCATTCGCCGCGATGTTGCGACAAAGCCTCCGGGAGGGCGGTGCGTTACCGCGGAGCGTGGTGCGGGGGGGAATGATGGGAATGCGAACCAGTGGCCATGGGGGGGTTGTAATAGATGGTGTGATATGAAACCAAGGGTTCAGAACACATGGGTTGGTAAGCTGTAACACCCTGTATGGGGTTTGGTGGGATGGAGCTGAACAAACGATATCAATAACGAGCGTGGTGCTTCTTCAAAGCTGCTGCATGCTGCCGTTGCTGGCTTCATGCAAATATCTTGCCAAGAATCCTCCATCACTATGTGAGCAAGTTTTTTTGAATATAGACACTATTATCATTGAAGGATGCCTACGGCAAAGTCTACGATCCGCCTACGTTTCCACAGTGTGAGCCTACGACACACATACACCTTTGCCTATGGAGAAACCTACGAACGTGAGGTTTCGTTTCAATGTTGTGTGTTTCGCCTACGCTACCCTTGGGGAATTGGTTTTGAACTTTTATGGGATTTGGGCAAGCAAACAAGCAAACAGCATGATAGCAAACTGTTCAACGTTCGGTTGAGGAGGAGCTCTCGTCCTCCTCCGAAAACGCTGTTCAACGTCGGACGGTTTCGGCATGCCACCGTTCAAAGACCACTGGCTCGCTCTCCAATGCCACCACCCGCACGTGGGGAAGACCACCACCGAGCGCTCGAGCGAGCCATAAGGCGCTGGCGCCCTCTCCGGCGCCCACGTCCAGCACCACCGCTGGTTTGGCGGCAAGCAGTGAGGCCACGGCTGTGTAGATGGCAGCTGAGTCGTGGGCGAAGCGGGTCCTGAGTGCGGAGATCAAACATGTTGGGCTGGGGAACTGCAGCTGAGAGCCATGGCAGCTGAGAATTCTGCCATCCTCGCGTCGCACCCTGGCATCCTGACTTGGACTCCCAAAGCAAGCTTCTGCATTGATCAACCATGGGTGACCAGCCAAATGTTCAGGGTGCAACTCCACAAATGCATGAGACCTCGTCATGCAATTGTTTTAAAGTCTCAGCCAGGAAGGGGAAGGACAACAAACACTGTGGCTCAACCATGTCGGGTCCTCAACAAGCTGCAAGGTCATCTGCAGTCTAAACCAAGTTGCTCAATGCCCCAAACGTCACGCATTTTGAAACACCTGCTTCTTTACCTTCCTTTGACCCCACACCCTCATTTTTTGAGGGTGTTTCCCCCCTACTAGCGATGGCTTCCAACCTACTATAGCGATAGCCTCCAACCTGCTAGCGATGGCCTCCAACTCCAAACAAATAGAGCGGTTCGTCTCATGCGTCTTCGACGCCTCCAGAAGTCCTCCTCCGGACCCGCGGCGGCTCGCGCCCAGCGCACGGCCACGTTCGCCGGACCCCGCGCGAGGTGGCTCTCGCGCTCGGGGAGGTAGGAGTAGTGACACTGCGCTGGGCGGACGTTGATGGGCCTGGGTGAGTGAGTGGATGGGGAGGATCAGAAAACCGGGAGCCGTTTGGACGGAAGCCATTGACCGCGGCCTGGGTGGTTGGTAGCTAGGGAGATCGTCCTTTAGGATGAGCCTCAACTTCGAGGGGGGTCCTAAGGGTCCTATAGTGAGAACATGTGTTGAATTGGGGCCCCTGGATCAAAAGGTGATGATTCAATTTGACCCGGACGCATAGTGCGCACCCCTACCCGAACAAAATCAAATGTAATGAGACTTTTCTTAAGAACTTGAACAGTCACTCGACAAAAAGCCTGCTCCTCCCGGTATCGAACACTGCCGTTCCACATCCACCACTGAAAAAAACCAAACTCATCCCAGGGCGCGCGTGGGGGGTTCCCCCCCCGCTTCGCTCGTCCAGCTGCTCCGCGGAGAAGCGTCGGCAAAAGCCCAAGTACTTCACGCGCGGTGGAAAGGCGAAAGTCTGGTTGCTGGCACGTTTGAACTGACCAGATTGGCTCTCCTAAGCGCGGTTGAGAGGTCTGGCTGCCAAATGGAGAGGTCTGGCACGTCTGCCTTCAGACCGAATCTGGATCGATCTGGAAGGGGTTGGGACGATGCGCAGCGCGCGCAGCGCTGGGCTTTTGCACGGACTTTGGGGACACCAAAGTCGCCAGGTTCTATACCTGGACCCTCCTGTCGGGGTGTCCTGGCTGGACTACCCCACCCTACCGGCCTAGGCTTCCATGGGCACCCCTTGGAGGGTACTGGTGTGGGAGATCATTTTGCATCGAGGTTTTGTCTTGCGCGATTTTTTGTGCATCGCAAATAATGAGGCTTATTATCCAAATGGGGAGGGTTTACTAATCAAGCGTCTACATTCTACATTATAGGGTGAATTTTTTGACATGTTGGTCAACTCATCGTCCTTTCCACCATCACCGGCGGAGGCTCTGAGTCAATGATCTGCTTGCCTCTGCGAGCGTAGCCCTCGGCGTGTGACCACCAGCCAAAGGTGTGGCCCTTCCCGCGGTGTTTCCGAGCATACTCAACATCCGGCAGGAGCCACTTGCTGTTCTCGTACCAGGGGAGGTGCCGAACCTGAAGTGGTGCAGGTTCGGCCCGGCCTTGTGAACGACGGGCATATTTGAGGACCCCAATTAAGATAAGAAGATACACATCATACCGGCCACAATACCAACCACCCAAACGCATTCCGCAAAAAACACAGCAAGACCCACCATGGCAGTTTCACAGTCAGCGATAATACCATGCTTTTATCCATATCTTAACACCATTTGCTCTGGGCCCATTGCCGGACCCGCCGAACTGGGCCACGGGCCGTTTCGCACGCGTAACCCGGTTCCCCCGGGTGTGGTCGCCCGCCACGGCACCGTATAGGGTCCGGCCACACGCACGTTGGCGGAGGGCTTGAGCATGGCGAGGCGGCTCTTGGAGATCTTGGTGAGTGCCATGGTGGTGTCGATGGGCGCCCAAAAGACATGTTTCTCTCCTGCCGACGGGGAGAGAAGAGCGCTCGCTTTGTGGCTGGGAGCGCTAAGAAGAAGCTGCCGGCAGACCTTTTGGGCGGCGCAGTGAGGCCGCCAAGCTTCTGGAACATGTTTTACGGCGATGTTTTGGGGATGGCACAGTGTTACTTCTATATGTCTTCAAGGTGAATCAAGGTGATATAATTTGTTCAAAGCTTTGAGAATGTGCGGGGGGCTCCTTTGGAGTTGACATGTTGCATCATGCTTCATTTCACCGGAAGCTGCTTCGCACGGCTAGAGCCTACCTATTTCATGGCAAGTCAACTTGCATTCAGTGGTCTCGCGCGAGAAAGCAAAGGGTCAAAAGCTGAAAGAGTGAAATCATCGGTTCTGTGGGATTTGTCAAATGGGTTTGGGAGGCATTGCATCTGGGAGGAACACATGTGCAAACATAGTTCGGATTGGCACGTGCTCCGTTCAGCACACGCATGTTGAAATCTACCCAGAAGATCCGAGAACATGCGGCCGTATGATTCATTTAACACCAAACATTCGTACCTCAGTTGACAGGTCCCCCCAGGTTCCCTGGTCCTTCTTGCTGATAGTCCGTCTATAAAACATCCTCTTACAGTATAATACTCATAATATAGTATCACAAATAATTGTACTTTTACCCATGTAGTATCACTTGTAGATATAGTATATAATCATAAAACGTTACCATGTAGCATCATATCCAAGACAGGGCTTCAGTCTCAAGACTCCCTTCAAGTCAAGTCTCTCCCTCGGCGCTTCAGCGAGCGTCGACCGGATCGGTCTCCTGGAGCCAATCGATCTTCCCGCCAAAAGTCGCACTCCTCGGGCGGTGGAGCCAAGACGGAGCGAGCGTTTGAGCACATGTCGATCCCTTTGTGCGCACATTTGTGGGGCAATCACGTCCTTGGTCCTTGTTATGGTCTTAGTTTGTGGTTCAATGTTGTTTTCTGCTTTTAGTCGATGTTGTTTTCTTTTCTGTTTTTCTGTCTTTCATGTTTGTGTTCTCTTATTTTTTCTTCTCTCTCTCTCTCTCTCCATCGCTCATTTTTGTAGATCTATAGAAGGGACTTCGATGAACACTCGCTGAGATCGATTCATTTTCACCTGCGGTTTTTCGATCATGCACAGGACCCCACCCTCCATGCCCGGTTCCAGGACATAGACACTCTGCGACAAAGATGAGAAACTAGGAAACGTAAACAAAGAACGTCATTTACACAAAAACATCTGCAACAGTTCCAACGAAAACATCCCAAGGCTCATGTTGCCAAACCTGTTTCCGCGCAGCATAATGCTCTGGTAGATCATCCAACCTCAAGGCCGCGCCAACCTGGCCGTGCCGTCCGGCCTTTCGTCAGTGGATCTCTACACTTCTTCAGTGGAACCAACGCTGACCGGTGAAAATACACACACACACACGACACAAATTCGCAAATCAGTCCCATGCAAGGCCCATGCTGCAAGCTCCAAACCAAAAGAAACGGAACTCCAAATCAGAAATGGAAAAGGGAACCAACAAGCACAATCCTACCAATCACTCTTCTTCTGCCTCCCTGCGACATGCCAAGATAACAAACAGTATCAAAAAAGGCCTCCCTCCCTCCCTCCCTCCCTACCTGCACCACCTACACTACGCACAAAAAACAAAAAAAAACGCGCCTTATTGGCCTGGTGTCGGTCCATGATCTCCCAGAAATGCTGAAGCCAGTTGGCCGGCACGCCATCGTCGAAGACGGTGTCCGGGTCGGCCAACACGTAGCGACCACCGAACCGGTCCTGGCGACGTTGGAGCGCCGAACATCGAGGGACGCATGGTGACAAAAAGGTGAGAAGTGAGAATCAAAGGATGACCAGTCAGTGCCTGGACCTGTCTTCATAGGTGTTTCCTGGTGGCAAGTGCCCAAATAGGTTCACCACCTGTGGGAGTTGGTCTCCAAACAGCCTGGAGGGTCCTGGTGTGAGATGCATGCTTTTGATGCGTGCTGGATCCATGCGGCAGCAAAGTCCCTCCACGTGGATGTAAGGCGTTTGACGCCCAGTTGGATGCTAGCTGTTTATTTTAATTTTGAGGACGAACCAGGCGAAAACAACGGATCGAATCGAAAGATTTATAAAAGAATTCTGTCACTGCAAAGGAGGGGTTCTTCAGTCTTGTCGGCTTGGCGGTTTCAGAGCATCGATTCACCTCTTTCAAGACGAGGATCAATGTACTCCTTCATGTGCGTGTTCTGATTCCACCTCATTCTCCACAGCAAGTGACTGATCTCGTTGCCCAAGTTCGAGGGAAGTCGAACCACCCAAAGGAGCTTCTCCTGCGCAAAGTAATGCTGACTCATCTGACTGTATATTGCATCACCATGCATCACCAATGCATAACCGTGTTTCTAAGGCCCGGCGCGGGCGCCCTGAAGCCGCGCCTGGTAGTAGTTCAACAAGGGCTTGTAGGTGGAATTGTTGTCCAAGGCAATGAGGTGATAGTACCCTAAGGAGTGCAGCTGCGAAACCAACATCTGCCTCAGTCGCCGTTCGAAGCAAAGACAGCTATGCTGTCGACGGCTGGTCGACAGCGATATGGCTAGCTCGCAAAAAGACAGGGGTGATACATCCTTCCTAAGGGACACACTGGACAGGACGTTCTAGTTGACCAGTCTGTTCCAGCCCATTCATTCCTGTTGTTCCTTTCGGAATGGCTATTAAAGGAGTGAGCCGCTCTTGACAGTACTATACTTTACGCCATATCCACAGGGCAGCATTCCTTCCTGCCATCAGCATGTAGAAGGCCAAGCCGGCGATATTTCGCAAGTGATTGGTTGATGGATGGTGGATGCAGAAAACCCGAAAATCCAAAATCCTCTCATTTGGGTTTAAAAACTCCAATGTAAACCTTCAATATCCCAACGCCACCAGTCTACCTGAGGATGTTCCCGTTGTCTGTGAGTGGTAGGTGTCTGTGTTCGAACGCACGATGCTTCTACCTATCAATAGGTACACATTCCCAGTTCTCTCCCAGTTCGCCGCGCTGCAGGTACACCAGCCGATCGCGACAAATGATGAAGATCGGAACCTTCCAGAAGCGCTCTGCCTTCTCCACTTGTCGTTGGATCTGCTCATCCGGCAGCACCACCCGCAGGCGCAGGTACCATGGCCTCCGGGTCCACGGGCTCCAACGGTCCACTGTTCCCTAGGGATCCAGTCGTACCTTCTCAGGTGTGGTGATGTGTGAAGAAACCACGGGTTATGTAGGTGCCAGGAGGGTCCAACCTTCGAAGGTACGACTGGATCTTTAGGGCTTCAGAACTGTCACTTAGATGGACACTATGATGGACTTAACATGACAAATGAAACATATAGGTTCCTTCCGACCTCTTTCGACACTTCGAAGTCTCGCATACAATTCCGACCTCTTCCGATCTACCTCACCGGGGGCGTATCGCTCCCTCGCTGCCGTGCGGTGCTCCGCGGCCGGCCGGCGCCCCCGGCAGCCTGGAGAGGTAGTGCACCAAGTTTTGTGCTGAGCTGAAAGGAGACCAAAGCCAGATCAGCAGGATCTGCTTGGGAAGGAACGAGCTAAGGATCTGCCCAAGTTCCGGCATGAGCAAAGGAGGAACCCAAACCTTTGCCGCGAGGGTCGCACCATCTTTGGTGCTCAGCTAAGTTCTCAACCATGTTTGAAGTTGGTCTCAGGTCCAGTTGTGAACATTCCATTTTTTGGTGTCAAACCTTTTGAGCACAACGTCAACAACATCATCCACGTGTGGAAAACATCAACAGCTGGATCCGCTCTCCACTTCTTATCTTGACAAGTGTTACAGTACATACAAAAAAAGAAGTCAGAAAAAACCTGATCTGGAACCTCGTGTCAAAACACTTCGAAGTCCATGGTTGCGGAAGGCCCCTCAAAAAGCTCCCAGTGTCCTTCTGATGGTTTTGTACTTCATCTTATCTTTGAGCCAATGGCCTCAAAAGATAGAGCAGTGGAACCCTTATAAGTTATAAGTTATATAGTTATTAAAATTAGGGTATTGTATGGGTATGGTGAAAACCCACTCTTGTATTAGCATAGCAACAGCCAAGCCTAAGGAAGTATGACACGTCTCCAATCACGTCGATTCCCGTCTCCCGTCCGCGGGATGGGGATGTGGCCACCTGACTCCCACCTAAGGGTGACCATGTAGACTCTTGAGACGTAAACCCTCCGCATCAAGAGTCTACAATCCATGGGCTTGGGGTCTTGGGTGGCCGTGGCAAAAGCATTGGTGCGGTGTGCCAGCCGCCGCGGTGAGCTAACGGACCAAGGACTCTTGGTGGGAAATTGGTTGAGACTGTCGGGTCATCGGTCTGGGGCGGACATTCCAACACACAGAGTGTGGTTGCCGGCTTGGTCTTCTCATGCATATCTTCTCTAAGCATCTCTAAGCGTTGGATGGTTTGGGAAACGCTGGGCTGCCAACGCCCCACTCGAGGAAGCCGCCCGGGGTATCCCCTTACGCCCCTAACTTACGGTGGTCCATCGAACCGAGGCCTTTCGATCCGTTCCTCGACTCTCGGCGATGTCAATTGACCTGCTTGCCGGAGGAAAAGGGCACGGGCAAATGATGGATTTCTTCTATAACAACATGTTTCTACCAAAGGAGAGTGATGATTGCAGGCTCCAAGTTGAGGGCCTGGGTCATTTTGATACCTAATACAGTAATGAGTTGTAAAATCTTGAGCACCCCGTCTCAAGTCTTCTTCTAAGAACAACCATCAGAATCTTGAGCGCCCATGCGTCGTCGCCGGCAGATGGGCGCAGGCAGATGGGCCGGCAGAGGATCAAGACCCAGCGTAGGAAGTTTGATTTAATCAATGGATTTACTATGATGTACTCACAACACTACTCACAACTTATTCAACATCCAGCCCATTTATGGAACCCTACCCCGCAAAGGAACTTCAGCAGGGCAAGCTAGAACTCCACCGTCCAAGCCTATTTCTGGCACTAACCTCTTCAAAGCTTACACATTCTCACTTCACTCTGGTTGGTTTGCACAAACGCAACCCTTTTAAGACCACGGCGCACGTTGCTCTTACGCACCTTTTCTACCAAGCGCCCATCACCGTTTGATGCCCATGAGCGAGGCAATCCTGGGTCCATCAGAGTTAGCTCCCACCCCAAGTGAACGTTGACTTGATGACTTCAAGAAGTGAAAGAAGGTTCAAACGTTTTGGGTGAACACTTTATCATTCAGGGCCCCTAAACTGCCACAAAGCAACAGAAACGATTCAAGTTCACAACACAACAGGCCAAACGACATACAGTTTTTTGTTTGTTTGCCCAATAGGGCCAAGACTTTCCCGCTGTGGGGACGTCCACAACTCTGGTGCTTTGCGTGGCAACAGCATCAAAACGCCTGCTAAACGGCTGGGACCCCTCAGCAAAAAGTACAAGCTAAACGCTCTCCAACATATGGATGCATCCTCAGTTTCAATCCGGCTATCCTCGTTCATCGTCTGAAAAACCACATCCTATGGCCTTCTAATCAAACCATTAAAAAAGAATGCTTCAGCTGCTTGACCTGACTTGGTCGTCTCAAATCCTCAGTAAAACCATCCGATCCCCTTTCCTTCTTCGCCCCATCCACAGGTGGAGTGAGACGCTCCCGTCTCCGACCGGTCCCCGACCGGTCCCCCGACCGTGACGAGCGTCATCTTCGCCTTGCGCGCTGCCCGGGCCTGGCCCCGCGCGCGGCCATCGGGCGTGGGCGAGCGGTAGCTGCCGCTGCTGCGGACGTTGGGGCCGCCTACGGACGAGGCGATGCGGGTGGCAGGCGCACGGCTTGGGAGGAAACTGAAGAAACACTGGAAGGAGCTCTTATATCCGAAAGCCCGAAAGCAATATAGTTTTCTTCACCAGGCAAGAAAATCTGAACTTATATCTGAAGAAACTCTGGTGAACTGCAATGTGATGATTTTGAATTGCATTGTGGGGTGGCCACTTTCCCACTTCCAGTGCACGTGACGATGACCACCATTTCAGTGGTTCAGTGGTTCAGGGCCAAACTCACGAAACACCTCTGCATGGAAGAACACAAACAACACACTTACAGTAAATGGTGTGAAAACCTCAAGATTGTTGTAGGATTAATTCCAGCTCCAGTCATCCTGAGCCACCTAGTTCACTTTCGGCCAGTAGGGTTGCACTGGGTCCAGATCTGTCTACAGCACTGGTGCTCCGGAAGCTAAATAAGGACTGCAACCAAGCAAGTCGGTGGGCTAGGCCTTCTTCCCACTAATGTAGACTCTTGATTAATAAACCACCTCAGCTGAAGAGGTCTTTCAACTCACATGAGGGGACTATTAATCAAGAGTCTACATTATCAGCCATGTGGATGTCTTAAGACATCTTAAGACTAAAAGCAATACTCGGCGGTGTGGAATCCCCAAGTGATTGATTCACCCGCTGAGCAGGCTGGAAGCGTGATCATTTGCTGACCCATCTGGTTCTTGAAATGCCATGACACATAGATTATATTTTTACAATATTCTATGATTTCCTATACAGTAGTATGTATTTATCTATAATATTTATATATGCATAGTTTTATGTATTGCACAAATCTCTACAACCTACAAACACCTCCACTCCCGGACGTCCCATCCATTCCATCCCACTCCACTCCACTCCCCACGTCCCACCGCTCTGCGGCGATCGTTCCCGGCTCCGCCGCCGCTCCCGGCTCCGCCGCCGCTTGCGGCTCCGCGAGCGCGAGGCGGCGGACGATCCGCGGGCGTCGATGCGGCCGCTGCCGGCGGCGTGGCGGAGGATCTTGTGCGCCTGGGGGGGGGGAAGTATTCGATACATCACACAGACACGACCTTTCTGGGACTGGCATATTGACCTACATTAGTTGGGGTGCCAGGGGGGTCATGCCAAACATGGAGTGTTTGGGTCATGTTATAATGAGGTGCTTCAAAAATCGGCGCTGGAAGAAAAGAGAGGAAAGGCATGCCAAGGATCCAAGGATCGATCCAAGGATCGATGGAGGTGTGCTGTTCCTTTAGTAGTGTGCAAGATCCTGTTAGTTGGCAAGCATGCGGAGCCCAAAGAAGTTGCTCTGGAAAGAGCAAGCCACGAAAAAAGCAACACCGAACACTTGGATTGCCATCAATTCCACGTTCTTGGACCCTCCAAACTGACACCGGTTTTGCCGGCAAAGCAGCGCCCCACCTCCACCCCACCGCATGCCAAGCAGCAGCGCCCCAGCCCCACCCAGGCCTCTTGGAGGAGCTTGTCGCCGCCCATTGCCTCGACGAAGCGCGGATCGGCGTCGCGCAGCCCGGGCGAAGCCCGCGCCAAGGCCAGGGACGGCAGCTCCTCCTGGCGACTTGCGTAGGTCGACTTCAGTCGCGGGAGAGAGCTGGAAGGAAGGGCGCAGTCAGACCCTTCAAGGGGGGAAACTCCCTTCCATTTATGACTTTGTTTGATGCCTTAGACATGGTGTTGTACATGTTTTATGCTTTTGCGGTTGTTTCCATGTCATGTCTTTAGGGGTGCTTTCTTTTGTGTTGAGCTTTGGAGCTAGACCAACCTGGAAAAGGGGACGTTCCCTGCAGTAGACCAGGAGTTGGCTGCCTAGTAGTCCTGGCGTTTGAACTCAAAGGAGCAAGGCTTGGGCCATGTGAGGGGGCCTGATTCATTGGTGTGCACAATGAGAGAGGGCAGCACACCGTGCAGGTATCTTGAAGGACGAGGGTGTTTTAGTACTCTTTACAGGATGCTTGGGATGAGCAGCAAAAAGGAAAGGTAGAGAGAGAGAGAGAGAGAAAGAAGTACACTGTACCCTCCCTGACATCATCATGGTTCCGTGGAGAGTGCATGGCCTCGAGTTCCGGTGACCATGACCTGCAAATACCATGGATCGGTGGTGGCTTTCACTCCACTTCCATGGATTCTTCCGGGGCGTTTCAGCTGACAAAGCCATCTTAAACTTGGGATCAACTGATGGCTCTGATGCTCTGGCAGTGCCAGAACATACTATAGATGATTCATTATGATGTAGGTTGATTACCCCCTCAGATTCCCTCAGAACTCTTGGCTCGAAAGACTCCATTTCAACAGCTTTCATGTGGTACGTCGTTACAATTCGTTACAGTACCAGGGACCTGACTGCAGGAATCCTCGGAAAAATGGGGCGACCTGCCCACAGATCCGCGAACACCACGAGTAAACCAAATCGTTCGGCGTCGTCCGCAGCGCGCGCAGCGCGCAACGGATCTGCTTTTGACCCACCTTCCGCGACACCAGCTTGTTCGCCAGTTGCTTCTTGGCACTTGCAGCCTCTGCAGTTGCAGGGCTCGTGGCGAGAAACATTGTGACATCCTCCATCCCAACTTCTGCTAAATTAAGGCTCCTGGTGTGGACTCATAGCAAGCTGGGAGGTGCTAGTTGCAGTTTGCCTGGCAAATAGGATAGAGAAGTGTGTCCTCTTTCATCGTGTGAAGAAAAACATCATTGGGTTCTACTGCCCACGCAGTTCTGTTGAGCCACATCCATAAAACCAAGCTAATTACACTCCCACTCACTAACGTGGAAGTGGACATTGGCGCCAGGGAAGATCATGAAATGCGCTACAAACAGGTGGTGAACTCCATGTAACCATGTGATGTGTTCGTCAAGGGAATGCATGTTCTTCCTTGAGCCCTCCACTCCACCGCCGTTCTCCACTCCACCGCCGGTCTGTGCGTCGTCGCGCCAGCCGCGCCTCTTCCTCCGGCTCAAATTGGAAGGCTGCACCCAACTTGGCCTGAAATCGGACCACAGGATGCGAGGGTTGGAACCATTGAATTGGAAGCAAAAGCTGTGAGTTGGCTGGGGATTTGCTCTGCATTGTTGCAAACAAAAGATGTGTTTGCGGGAGCTTGCGTTGGGTTGGGCTTGTATCGAACGGTGAAGGCCAATGATTCGCAATGCGCTGCTTAGACATAGCCCATCTTCCAAGCACCGCGCAAAAAAAACTCGACCACTCGATCCTGGAAACCGCCCCACACCAAAAGGAGATCTGACAAAAAGAACATGCAGTGGACAACATGGCTCTTGGCACTCACTTCCAGCGCATGAGGAGCTGGCTAGCTGCCGGCTAGGTCTTCGGTCTTCTTAAAATGGTTTGCTCAAAAAGATCTGGTGTATCAGCTTCAGCGGCGGTATGCAGCGGTGGCATGTTATCGATCGAGTCTTTAGTCCCGAAACTTTGGCGACTGCCAGACTGCCAGACTATCCAGACACTCCATGGGACTGCCATAGGACTGCCGATCAGTTAAGGTGGTTAACTGGGGGTCTTTCTGGGGCGGCAGTCCCATGGCAGTCACATTAGTCGTGTCTGGGTCCATTTCTTCATATTTCTTTCGCAACATGCTCCATTTCGGGGCCCAAGAGGATCCCCAAATCAACAGCACTGGCTCTAAATCCCAAAGCTCCGTGTGACCATCCCACCATCCACAGATTAAATACATTAAATAGGCCCAGCTAAGGAAATCACCTTCTGCAAAACAGCAAGACATCGCATTCCGCGTAGGATTATCCTATTCAAATTCCATCCTTCTTCTATGTTCATCCATTAAGCCCATCCCACATGGGACCAAGCAGAACATGGATAAGACAATCCCATCCGGCCTTTCTCTTCTCCTCCTCTTCCTTGAGCTTCCGCTTCTGCGCCTCAATCCGCCGCTTCTCCTCCTCCTGCCGCTTCCGTGTCTCCTCCCACTCGAGGTCCTGACAACGCCCGCGTCCGTCCAGCACCGAACCAGCACAATGCAAGCAGCAAGTACCATGAAACAGGACACCTCCAAGTGGTTGCAATACGTGAAAGACAGCAAAGGCCACTGAGTCCAACGATGTAACGTAACTATCCAATTGTTTATTTTTCAAATTCCTCTCTCACAAGCAGTTGGCTTTCGGCACCTCGTCGTTGGCCTTCTCTGGGGAGGAACCAACGTTGGGACCTGGCGAACGAGTGGGGTCCTCAACAGTGGACCACTGGTTTGAGAGGAATTTTCTTTGGCCCTGCAGAAGCTCTTTTGGCTTCTACAGGGTGCCCCTTTCTTGTAAAGCTGCGGAAACAGAATACACTGAATACACCCAACTCTGAAGAACACACTCCAATAAAGCCTGACCTTGAAAACACCCTATAGGTAGACCCATAGGCCAAATGTTGCAAGGAATCTTGATTAGGCCGCTTGCCCCTTTCAAAACAAACTCCCAGCATCCCTCCGACAAAAACTGTTCGGATCAGCGCACATGACCATATTTTTTGAAGTTGATCCTCTCCAACTGCTGAGGAACCAACAAGGCATACCTTCACCAAAGTGGAACACACATGAACACACATGCGACTCAGTTTGAAGAAAGAAATAATCATAGAGGAGCCGCATGTCTGGATTCAGAATTCACAGGATAGACTACAACATACTACAACACCTTCTTTCAGGTGAGACCCTCAATACCCTCTTCATTTGGTTCTTCATTCACTCTCCATCTTGGACTCCTTTCAGTCACCTGTCGGAGTCCAGCGCGCTCGATCCCGCCTCGACTTGGTGAGGGGGCGCCCCGAGGCGACCTGGCGAACAGCACCGCTTCGCAGCTGCGACCGTGGAGCACCGGTGAAAGCGTCCATCGGTCAGGTGAAGAAAAGACCGCTGCTCAGCCACTGACTGACGGAGACGTCCAATAGAGGTCACATCTCTGGACTCTTTTTTTCCTCTGCGGCGAACAACTCGGAGTGATCGACGGACGCCGTCGACACTCCGGCAAGATCCACCTTTCTCAAGCCGGCCTACACTCGCATGTCCAGCAGCAAGGTGACTCGACATCCGAACTCGGATCGCCAACGGGTTCATCTAACGCAGCAAGAGCGAGAGGTCCTTAGACCTCGCTCTGTGGGTGAAATCAGTGAAACGGATGCGGGGATGCAAGATATCCACTGAATTTATGTGGATTTACAGTAGTCGATAATGAATGTGAACATGTGAATTTAATACCACCGATTTATAACCCAATCACTATGTCACTATGAAATGCCATGGGAACATATGGGAAGTAGACAGAAGTGTTAAACTGTTACGGGGTTTGCATGGAGAGAAACGTCTGGGTGGCCCACAACGACATCCCATTCCGAGGGACACATACCTACCACAAGACCGGTCTATCGTGCACCTAGATTTGCCATAGGAATTGTGAAACGGAGTTCAAGAGTCCCAAGAGGGAAGATGCATCTTTCCACAATGCTGCCCAGTACATCTCGAACTTCCTGTCATCCCATAGCTGCGCATAAACGTAGACTACCTCCTTGAGCGTGGCAAGGTGGTCAAGCTGCCACAGGCGCAGCGTCATCAGAGCCGCCATCTGGCCAAGGATCAGGATCCCACCAGCATTCTTGCCTGCCTCGTGGATGATGAGCATTTGCAGCAAGAGTGCCTTGCTTGCTCTCTGTCTCTCTCTCTCTCTCTCTCCATCGCCTGCACGGCCTTCAAATGTTGATCTGTCCCAGTGTTGCCTGGGGGCGAGAAAGGAGTGCAGGGCCATTCACCCCAACATGCAACTAGATGGCGGGCATCCATGTCACTTTTGCTGGCCGTGCCGGCTTCCTCACTCTCACGTGTGAGGAAAGACTTGCAATCTGGGCGGAAGATTTCTCCGTACTTTGCCAAAGCGATGCCTGCACACTTAGATCCACCCTTCACGCACCAACAAAATAGCACGGGAGGCAAATGTGCACTGTATTGTGCAAGAATGATAAGAAAGTACACATAGAGGAATTTCCAAAGTATATCCGACGAGGGTATTATCAAATTACATACTTCTTCAAGATCCTTGTGATCCTTGATCATGCCATCCATGAGGAACAACAGAATGGATGGATACGCAGCCACCACAAACATAAATAGCACCGGCATCCGCAAACAATTGTAGGCTTCCATCAACGCCATGTAGTGATGTAGGCCCAGGTCAGCTGGGCGGACACTGCCACTGGCTCGTGGGTTTGGCTGAACCACCGAGCCGGTGGCATCTTGAGGCTGAAAGGAGGTGATCTTCCCAAGGTCCTCAGGCGGTCTTCAGCGCAAGAGACCCCCTAAAAAGTCCATTGAAGAGCATATAGGGTCCGTAAGAACCCCTAAGCGTGTCGACACTGTTTGGGGAAAAAATCCATTGAAGAGCATAGGCATAAGGTGCAAATTCCTGGAGACCACTGCAGGATGAGCTGGCCGAGGGGCCGACTTCGCAAACCTTCATCTCGAAGCCGAAGACTAAGAAGGTCAGCAAGACCTTGATCTGCCCAGCAAAGAGCATGAACCAAAGGGGCTGCAAGTTCTTGACGTACTCTTTGACATGGATCTTCCATCCGTCGGCAAGCACTTCCCGTTTTCCTGAGACACGCGCAAGGTTCAAGGTACATGAAAAGATTATTCCTATATAGACTCGAAAAAATACAAGGCATCTTGGCCAAATGATTTTACGTCGAGTGATCCCCACCATGGCATTGCACTCTGCTGATAACCGATGGCTATATTGCTTCAACATCACTGAGAAAGCGTCTATCTAGCATATATACTTCCAAAAATGTTTGCAAACTATGTCTATGTGGTATATATTGCTGCACTCTATCTGGCATTCTAAGGGACAAAAACATGTTGGCATTTTTTTTACCTGGCATATTCTTGCATTCTATCTGGCGTATGTTCAAGTTATTCTGGCATGCTTTCTGACTTTGACTGGCATATTTCCTGACTGACATTCTTTTGACATTTATTCTAATTTATTCTGGCATAAATTCTGGCAGTATATATGGCATAAACTCTTGGCTTGGTGTTCTATCGGGCATATATTCAGGCGTTCTAGATTCTATGTGGCAAAGTTGCTGACTTTCTTTCTATATCCTTCTATCTGGTTCAGGTCCGTGGTGCCCACTGCTCTCTGCTACGAGGAAAGGAGGACAGGTCGGAAGAGGAAAGGACAGGTCTGATCAAGTCCAACCTTCTCCTGGCGGGTGGGGAAAAAAACACCTCCTCTGAAGCAGCCCCAAGGATCGCTCTCCATTCCATCAGTGTCTATCTCTCTCTCTCTCTGTATTTCGTGTCCATCTTCTGGCAACTCACCGTGCCGCAAATGCCTGGCCGGCCCAGGGGTTGAGAGATCTCCCTGGACGCCACTGGAAAAGCCAGGACTGCGAGAACCGCAACGAGTACAACGCGTTGAGTCATGGAGTCTACTCTGAGGCTTCGTCAAGGGTCTTCCACCAAATTCTGGTGGAGCTTTTTCTGTTGAGTGAAACGCTGCGGAAGCATCGCCTCAAAGACGCGCAATCTTAACCATCAACAAGCACACACCAGGTCGAATAAAAGCATCCTAACGCGCACACACACACACACATCTCTATATATATATATATCTCTCTCTCTCTCCAAATGACTCAGAAGAAACACACAAAAGTCACAAAACCATCAGTCCATCGATTCTACAGCACAAGGAACTCACACCCCGAAAGAGCCATCTGAGTTGGAGCCACGGACTCACGTGCCGCGCCTCGGCACCTTGCTGCGCCGAGGAGGCGCTGGTGCCTCATCGTGATCTGAGTCCTCCTGGACTTCGCCGTGGAGCCCCAACGCTGCCAACTTGCACCTGGTGCTGCCAGACATGAGGGTCGTGCCAGTTCGATCACAAGGTGAACACGGATGTTCCAGCTCTGTTTCGGTTTTTGTGCGATGAACTTATTGCAGTGCCGACGACGAAGGCGCGGGACTTACGGAGTTACACTCCCTGAAATCATGGTGAGGTGTGGATGGCATAAGGCCATCACCATCTGATGGCACCCCGGTTTCGGAAGACCAATCTGAAGACCAATCAGTAACGGTGGCTTTTCAGGAATGTGAAGATCTGATGAATTGATTGGCAAAGCTGAGATGTCCCGATGGCCCTTTGACACTTGGACACCAGCAGCTTGTACTGCACCGGTGGTATGGTAATGTAGGACGTTGTTCTGTCAGACTCGATCCACACGGACTGTTTTGGGGTACAACATGGTGCAGTCGCAGGAGAGGAACTGGGTCTTCCATGGGGAACTCAGCAGGTGTGAAGAGCACTTGAGATGGGTATAGATGGATTGATCAAGACCATTCACATTCCGGGGAAATCTCCTGAAGGAGCTAAGTGAACAACAGTCGGAGGTTTCCGGGATTCGCGCCATAGATAACATGTACATAATAAACATATATTTGTAAAACGTGCAATCCCAACACATTTCCTCAAAGAAAAGGACATCTTCACGTGTTTTGACCACCAACCTTTGGAACATGATGAAGCCTCTCAGCACTAGCCGCCGCGCTGGCAACGGCGATGCTCGAACAGCGGTTTTTCTATGTGGCCATGGAATGAGGAATAAACATAGAAAAAACTCACAACACATGCCAGGATCATCCTGTCTGGGTGTCCAATAATAGTCTACCCTACAAATCCCTACAATACTTATAGGTCTGAACCCAGACAGGAAATGCTAGGTAGAGTGTGGCTTAAAATAGAACACCACCCATTGGTTCCAGGTCTCCTTATATAAATACACACCGATACCTCGCCCGTCACGCCCTGGTGGCGTCCGAACACCCCAACACCGAAGGAGGCGCCTGGACAATGTGAGGCGCTGCTTGTCGGAGAAGTGATCCATATGCTCCTCAGAGGTCCAGAAACACACTCCGAGGTTTTTTGCAACGCGAGATGAAGGGACGGAGGGTTTTCTTCGCATCGTATTGTTTTCAGTTCAGAAGACCTTGGATCAAAGTAAGTACGACACTGATGGGGCAAGGTCATCATGAAGATCATGGATGTTCCATGAAGTGAATGATGTGAATGGCCCACCACCAAATGTTCTATCAGGTCATCACTTCAAACGGCTGGACGAGTTGAGAGGGCTGGCTTCATCAAGCGCTTCAAAAACCAGGTGCTCTCAAGTCTTGCACACCTAACATTCAAAGAGGTTGAAGAACCCTATAGACTATCCCATAGGTACCCTGGTAGGGTCCTATAAGGTCACTTAACCTCTGTTGGTTTGGTGGCATGTTGCCTGATTTAAGGCCCCAGCCCCCCCCAATGGTTCCTCCGAACGGTCCCTACACGCTGAGACCGCCCCCCACACAAAATGGGCGAGAAGCCGGTCTCAGTCTGACCACCAGCTTGATTCTTTTTTCTATATGCAATCACATGTAATATGCCAATTCATGTCCTGACCGGCATTCACCTTGTGCTCCTTGCAATGTACGAGTCTACAGCGTATATTTGCCATTATTTGCCCAACCTATCTGGAAACAGCAAATCGACTCTATCAAGAGCTCACTGCATCCTATCCACGAAGACGGCAATGGGCCTAAGCGGGGCCTAAGCGGCCTAAGCCGACACCAATAGTCATATACAATATCAGTATCCAAATAAATGCGGCTGTTCTTTGAACATCTTTGAGCCAACATGGCCTCCTCAACTGCTGATGATACCTACCAAGCGACACTTACAGGTAAAATAGTAGATGTCGTCTCTTTTGGGAGTCCATCCTCTGACACCAGGTCCATCCGAATCAGACCCCAATCCCCCATCCGATCAAGCTGACGCATCCAAAGTTCCGCCACCATCTGGAACATCTTCTTCCCATACTTCTCCGAGACCCCAGAGGCGAACTTCGGGTGCGTCACGATGTTGAAGACGTCCTGGCCCGGTGGAGCGGTCAGGTCAGCGGTCAGGTGTCCGCTCCGATGTGCTTCACTGAGGCCCTCTTCAGTGGTTTTCCCATGGTTTCTCCATCCAGTGCGGAGATGGTTGATCCGCAACAATCTAGGTTAGCAGTGCGTGAGCGCGTGAGCCATTTCACTAGCTTTTCCCGCATTCCTTCTCCGGTCCAATCGCCCTGGGTTGGGGCTACTCAGTGTTGTAAACAGTTGTGTCATCCAAACCAGCCACTGATCCCTCAAAAATGGCCACTGATCCTTGAAGAAGAGAGTCCTGCGCTTTGGCTTTGGCTTTGAGGACCTTTTCCAGCCATTCCGTCTTGCTTGGAGCTGACATCTTCCTCGGCTCGGGGAGTTCGTGTGCCTTTATCGGTCTGCTTTGAACGGAGACGGGAGGTGGGTGGTTCGTTTGCTGATAGGGAAGATTGAGCTAGGGAATTGCACGACACACTTCAAGAACATGAGAAGCTGAAGAGCAACGCCAAGCTTCAAGGTGGCCTTGAGATCACAAGGCACTGGAGGTTCCTGCCGCCATGAAGAGTGGAAACCACAAACCCCTCAGTGCTGAGGCCAAAATCACCCTTCTTGTGCTCCTGCATTCTTCGTTACTCATGAGACCATGTTTATTGAGTGATGTTTTGCACATGGCAAGCACCTTCTCAGTGGACCATTGCGGTCCCTTTCACCGGGCGAAATGACGCACCGGGCATTCGATGTTTCACCCGTCTCCGCACGGACGCCTCATCCTCATCCCATCAGCCCACCTCCACCACCGTAGCAGTCTGTTTGGAACGATGCTGACGTCGGCTGGTGACCAGGGCGGGTAAGCCAGGCTCCCAAACCGTCTTTCCATCCTGCCACGGGACAAGGAGTACACGCATGGACGACACGAGGAGAGCAGAGGAGAGCAGGCGCGCGCGCGCCTCTGCGTCTTCCCGAAAGATGCACCTTCATTCGGGTGGTCAGGGGGGGCAGTTGACGAGACGAAGACGCGCAATGCACAGGTGGTTAAGCACTGCTTCTGAGGCCATCCGGCCATGACTGATCTCTCTCTATCAGTTCTCCAGGGGACCCAGGAGGATTTCAGCCGAGTCACCAACACGGAAGTGGACAACGATCCCTTTTATATGACTCTTTTCTTTTTGAGAGCAAGGGGGTTCCCACTTCCATGTTAACCAGTCGGAGAGGGCCCTTCTGGTCTACACCTGGTGGCAAGGAATAAGTAGGTTGCGTTCAAGTTCAAACTAACCAGGCGCTGGCAAACCAAGAACGCTTACATAAGGCTATACCAGAAACATGCACCAAGGTGAAGAACATGTCTGAGTCTCATTGGATTTGTAAGAAATCAATTTCTGAATCGCTGAAGGCAAATCAAACAACCGCCGCCGAATCTCTTCCAGGTCATTTTTGGAAAACAACTACTGGTCCTTGTTGATGGTGGAGAACTCTTTCTGCTTGGTATCCTGCTGATTGACTCGTGCACCGCCAAAGCCCGAAGACATGGCGATGCCCAGAGGGCGTAAAAGCGCGTGCTTCAGGGCGAGGCGAAAGGTTTCAGTCCCACTTGGCACGATTTCTTCAAAGTGGAGGTATCTAGATGGTCACATGCCCAATCTGCACGGGGATCCCGGGTGTTTTTGGGTGCAAAACGGTCTGAAAGGGGCTGGAACATCACGCAGACTCTGCAGTGCTTGGCTTGGCCTCTGCTTCAGACTCCGCAGCTTAGGTGCAGCTATTGGTTTGGGTTGTCAGTGGATCTTTGAGAAAGTGGAATCTACTAGGAAAGAAACGACTTCGTGCCACAGTTGGGTAGGCCCATCCAGACATGGCCCTCTAGAAACATCAAACACTTTGGACGCTTAGATCACCTTTTTGCCGGGAAAACTCACCTAAAACCTGTTGCGTCCATGTCGTCTTGGCTTGGCAGGTCATCCGACCAGTCCAGGGAGTGATGCGAAGTCCAAAACCACACCACGAACTGGCCATATGTGACCGATACATCGATACTTCATGATACTTAATATATCATAATATATCTAGCACGGGCTTCCGAAACGGCCTTCCTCACGCGATCATTTGGGCAAACTTGTTCTTTAAATCACCGTGTTCTCAAGCTTCAGCCTAGCTGAGGTGACACCATCTTGAGCCAGGAATAATGTGAACAAAGCGCTGGGCAGGCAGCTGCTAGCAGCTGCTAGCACTCTCCAAATCTGCATCAAGTGTGCTTGTTACCAACTGATATGGTTTATACACAGACTGTCGAATCCTAAGGGTCCGGATCAACAGCAAAGCCTCGACCAACGTTTCAAGTGCAGCAATCTCTTGCTCCAAGAATCCATCAGAATCCACAGAATCCCTTCGAGATATACGGTTCGCTCACACCTGTTAGGCCCATTTTAGGATACTTCACTTTGATCAACCATGATCCAACGGTCTTCCCAAGGATCTCAGAATCCACCCTGCAGTCGAGCATGCCCGGCCGCCGATCGGTTTTTTTTTGCCGAAGGACTCTTCGGTGTCGACTAGATTAGGCCGACGATCTCAGCTTCTCACGAAGCTCCATGAGCGCCTGGGTGGGGTCGAAATGGGGTGTCAGGTGCCATAGGGCATCATGCGTGGAAGCAGGTTGACCCTCCTTTTTGGGGGGCCGGTGTTCCATGGAATGCTTGTGAGCGTTGGAATGCTTGGGATATGGTTTGTGTCTATTGAATGTTGTGCGGCATGTGCCGAGAAGCCTGGCTTTGGAGGAATTCTAGTAGTCGATGTGATCAGGAATTGTTGACAAAGATCACAGCTGAAGAATCTTGATTTGGGCAAATTTCTATTGAAAGAGTATAGCTGCTGTGCAAACGTTGACGGCGAGTTTAAACACAATTCTGAAATAGTGGTTCCCCCCAAACAAAGAGTATTCGTGGCACGGATCGCCCAATACCTAGAAGCTCCTGGCAGAGGCTTCTGGCCGCAAAAAAAAGCGGCAGAAACCCGAGCCGAGCCGGGTTAAGAAAGGCTTCTAGCACCTGTTAGGGTCTCCAAACAGCCTGTTGGAGGGTGCTGGTAGGTATACATTGTGAGGTGCTTTCCTTTGCTTTTTCCATTGGCTTCTTCCATCCCCAAACGGGCGATCGTCCTCCACTCGGTGGCACTCCGAATCGACCCGCTCGCGGCAGCACCGTTCCGTTCACTCCGGAACCGGTTGAAACGGGTCACCGCGTGGGTTGCAGGCGTTGGCGGCGTTGGCGGGTACCCGTTGGCGTTGGAGGTTTCGAACGGTTTCGAATCCATCAACTTGCTGTGAAAAAACACAGGAATAAAGACCAACAAACACCATTTGAAAAACACAGACTCTTTTGCAACATCTGTTTTTTCCACTTCCGGAACAGTTTGATATAGCGGGCCCTCACCTGGCTGGAGGAAGTCTCTCCCCCATTGATACCGTATGGATACCCAACTTGATTTGAATGGTGCTGACCAAACCACCGTGGTGCTGCAAAAACAAATATCATCAAATATCTATAGTTGATTGGCTAGTTCGTTTCTTTTAGGGGGTTAGATCTCACTGGTTGTGCCGCTGCCCAAGGGCCACTCTCGCCCAGTCAGCTCATCCTGCCTTCCCCACATGGTTCTGGCCAGTCGCCAAACCACCTCTCCGCGTGTCCGTGTGGCACCGGCTTTGGCGTGTGTCTTGGTGGATTAGGCGGGATTTTCCTGAGAAAATCCATCCAACAACTCTAAATTCCTTCGACTATCTTCCATTCATCTGACCTACTCAGCTCCAAGTATCTCACCGGTCACGTGACCGGTCACTGGTATGACCCTCCGGTCCGGGCCTGGTGCGGTCATGCCGGCCCAGGGGTCAGCTTCCAGGAAGACCAAGGTCTTATCACCGGTGGCCAGCAAGGCCTCCTTGAAGGTGCTATTCTGTTCCGCCTGTGCAGCCGCTGTGAAGGAGACGCGCTGACTAGCTCGGACTCAAAGACTCTGGTTGGTTCAAAGCACCGATCTCTGCATTGATGGTCAAAGGGTGAGGTTATTGAAGACCTCATTGGTGCCACAATGAAACAGCAGTCCATTCCTAGCTTTCCATCAATGGTTGGACTGTGTATATATATATATGATTATGTAAATAATCCCTCAACTTTGTCGTGAGACTAAAAGCAAGGCTGCTTCTCAAGAGGCATATCTACATCAGTTAGGACAGGAAAACGATGGAACCCTTGTGACATCCCGCAAAAAGGCTGAAGGTTCTCCATGCTGACTGTGTAAGGGACCGCCCAATGAGCGTTGCCACTCAGTACCCCCGCCAATCCAAAAACGACGTCCTGCGCCAGCTCGTATCGACGAGCTCCTCAAGGTGATCTATAGATGGCCAAGGGATGTCCAAGGAGTTCAGTGTGAATCACCATCTTGCCGGTACACTACATAATATATGAAAACAACAAATTCCCCATCATTCCCCCCAAACACCACCGGTGCTCGAGTAGCTCGAGACTTCTCTCAATTCTCGACGTGCGATGGCAATGGCGCCCTTTCAGGTGGTATTGGTAGTTCTGGTGATTCTAGGTTGGTTGGTTGGTTGGTTAGTTAGTTGGTTGGTTGAGCGACTCACAGCCGTGTCCGTGGTTCACAGGCACAATCTCCACAGTCGCGGAATTCTAGTGATGCGCTCATGAAACGGACGTCTTCGCAGCTTGCCGTTGCCTTGGCTTGGAGGCCAAGCTCGAGGAGCTCCTGGCGCTTGTCCCGCCAGTCGCTGCGGCCCTGCAGTGACTCGCCCCCCGCGAGGATGATGGCGTCGTCCAGCGGGGCTGCGGCGATCTGGCGCACGAGCTGGTCGTTGAGGCCCAGGAAGGGCGAAGCTTGCCAAAAGTGCTCCATGCTGGGAAAGCCTCATGGAACTGCTGGATGGAAAGTGAAGGTGGATGGAAAGGCAAGGCCTGTGAACTTCAGGGGTGGGTCAGCTGCAGTCTTCTGGCTTGAGACTTGGAGTGAATACGGAGATGAAATGGAGATGAAGGAAGTCTCATGACATGTGAGGAGTGGCTTCCTTCAAGTCCAGGGACCCCCACGGAACCGTGACTCTTCAAGGAGTGGTTAGTGAGTGGTTGAGTGCCGGATTTTCTGGTCGTCGGTAAGATGGAACCCATTTTCAGGCCTCGGCCAATGAGACCAAGAACATGAGATAGCATGAGTGATGAGTGAAGTCCAAGCTTAGACCAAGATCCATGCGTCTCATCTTCCTTTTGCCAGTCCTCTGAAGATGCAACTGGGTTTTCTTCTGAGTTCCTGGATGAAAGATGATGAACAGGTATTCCTGAAGCATCCACTCCCTTCAGACGCCCCAAAGCACCCCAATGAAGAACATTCCCGTTTTTTTCGGTCACCAAGAAGTTCGGTTTCTGTGTTTCTTTCGGCTCCCGAAATGTGTGCGCTTTCCGCCACATGAATCAAACCCGTCTTCCACCAAGCCACTCACACCCTCCACCGTGAAGTTCGCAGGAAAGGCCTTGGACGACCGCTCCGGTCTCGACCGAATGCCATGCACGTCGTATCTCATCCGACGTGGTCGGACTTGCGCTGGCGTTGTTTGGGTCGCTCTTCGGCCCTCCAAATGGGATCCCTCACCTTCCAACGCCATGGGCCTGCAAGAAACCCAGGCTAGGCAAGGGGTTTTCGCGCCAATCTGGCTCCAAGTAGTTGGAAGATGGCAACATCAAAATATGATTCTTGAACAGTTTGGAACCGTCTAGAATCTAATTCTATCATACATACTTTGAACCATCTTTGACCCAACTATGCTGCATAGATTTCCCTTTTGGTTCTATTTTGTTCCATCTCAGGACCTACAAATGGAATCAACTTGCATCGTCTACACCTCGATGTTCTCAGCGCAAATGACTGCACTGCTGCCGGGTGACGTGACACAAGGGGTCCTGTGCAGTTGGACCCGCACAGTGAAAAAACGAAACCCCTGGTTGATGTCCAACGAAATCCCGTTGCTTGGGGGCTCACCCGACTTCAATATTCAATCCACATCAATACACATCAATACATCATGAATGCTGTATCTTCAATATTCATTGAACATGGTGTATTCCATTCCCTAGGGATCCAAGTACCTTCTCAGAAGGTACTTGGACCCTCCAAACCTACATAGCGGTGTCTCCAATCACCTGCTGAGAAGGTACTTGGATCCCTAGGGATTCACACTGCACATATGGAGAGACCTCTCGGTATCCCATCTCTGCTATGTTTCAAGCTCCGGGATGGAGAATGGGCATCGAAGATCTGGGCAAGAAAGCGCCTGCCTTTGCGAAGGCCCCGGAGTGCCTACGGGTTCGGATCGACACACCGGGATCTACCTGGAGTGATCCACGGTGTCGAACTGGTTCGTCTTGCGAAACTGTGGATCACGTGAGCACCTCCAGTGGTTCCAAACGGATCGGTTCCAGTGAGGCACTTGAGACACTTATATGACTGTGCATCAGGGACAAGTACTGTGACAATCCATAGGATCCCATGGGGAAGGATGCAACTGTTTCTTTCGTAAGGGATACTGATGCTTAATGCGATTTAAGGTGCAACCATAAATAGTAACATCCAGTGGCCTCCCTGTGGTGGTTCTTTACCCTCAACTCCCTCAACGATGGTACTTACCACCCTGATCCACCTGGTGGAGCTTGTCCAAAGCCTTCGGCTTCAAAACCACCTCCCCCCCCAGTCCTTGCCGGTGTTACTGAAGCCTCAGCCGGAAAGGACCCACGACGACCCTCACAGCGAAGGGACTTGGGACAGGTCTTCTTACTTACAGGAGGGGTCCAAGAAACGAGGAGCGGCCAGGGCTGCCAGGGGTCATTGAAGACTAGATTACTAGATCTAGTCGTTCAAACCGTCCTTCAACGTCTTTTTCGGGTCAACAGGGACCCTGTGTGACGACAGGACCAGTGGCGATGTTCGGGGCGAGCAGGGGGCAGAAGTTCTGATCTTTGGTTTCCGCTGCGACGAGGGGATCAAACAGGTGGACGTCCGGTCAGCCAATGGGCCTGTTTGAAGCTGAAGCCATGACCTAACTATTCCCTGTACAGTCCGTTCATCAAGGAATTGGGTATGAAAAAAGACATCCAACAAAAGGAACGAAAAGAACAGGACAGGAAACGAAACAAACACCATACATTCATTCAATACGTATATTTACCACTTCCTTTCAGGCGTCTCCTTCAGGAATGCGTTGATCCTCCGTCCGGGTGGCTATAGATGTGCTCAGCATTGAGATCAATGGTGCCCTCGGGAATCTCGTCCCCTTCCTCCTCGGTGGACGGGACGTGGACGTCCACTGTGGTGAACCTTCGGGGTCGGTGGTCGGTTCGGATGGGGAGGTTCCTTCGATCCATGCCCAAACGGGTCCTTCCTTTGTTTGGAAGGCAAAGCCAGAGAGGAGAGAGGTGGAGGATAACTATAGATTTTCAGAACCTTGCTTGGTCCTCTGAACCCCACCTAAGTAAGGGTCTCAATTTCCTAGCTTCTGCACATTTCTTGAGCTTCTGAACGCACCAGGTCTTCGGTCTTTTCCGTCTCAATTTCGATTTGCTTCCGGAACCTGGAAACATAAAACATATTCCCCATGCCAGGGGATTAATATAAAACATCACCTGATCCGCAAAACCTGGAATTGGGCGCTTGCAAAAAACTTACTGCGCCGGGCGGCGATGACCACTTCCACTTCCTCACAATCCTGGGTGATGCAACCAATGCGAGCGTGTCAGTCATATGCAGTCATGAGAATGAGGACGCTTGAAACCCTCAGATCTCAAGATGTGTAAACCCTCGAAGCGTCAGGGTGGTGAAAGAGAATTGAGCCCACGTGAACTGTTCAGATGGGCCAGTGGACGCCTGATCAAGAGGGGCTATGGATGGCGAACTGGTCCTTTTTGCCCTGGAATTCTGTCTGAGGCCAACTCCACCAGAAACCTCCCTCCCTCCAAGGGCCAAACTAGCCACGAAGATCCATGAAGAACACCAAATCACAGAAACTTGGACATGCACTTCTTTTTGGATAACATGACTTCTTGGATTGAACATGTGTTCAAGCATGGTGTTCATCACAGAAACTAGCTTGAACAACATGTCTTCTTTTTGGTGTGTGTTAGGGTGCCTTGGTGTACTGGCATGTGGCCTGACACCCAGCGCATGAGTATCATCAAAAGCGCCCGGGCTTTTTCGGCCAATGAAATACATCCGCAGCTCACATGGCCGAGGCAACAGCTTGACTTTGCTTGGGACAACCACCCAATGGACGTCGTGAAGCCTTGCCTGCTGGCGACGGAGCCGAACCGGACGTCAGGCTCAGACCGTGGTCAGACCCTCTTGGGCCTCTGGGCAGCCGACCAAACCCAGACCGAGCGGCGTAGGCGAAGTCGTCGTCGTGCTCCACCTCCTGGCAGTGCTTGGCGAAGGCCTCAGCGTCGCTCAGCAGGGCGCCACAGCCACCGCCTCGGTGGGAGCATGGTGGAGCGACCGGTAGCGGCCTGGTGGATCCCCCAGGATCGGGGAATTCACTTCAAGGAGGTCATGGTGATCTGTGAAGATCATGAGTACTCCTGTACCTCACCCGCCTCGGCTCCTTTGTGACGAACCGACGGCCAACCAAAACTGCGAGTCAAAGTGGAAGTTGCTGGAGACACTGCAAGCTGAATTCAATGCCTTCGGCTTGTTGGGTTGGGCAAGTCTTGAGCAAACAGGTTTCCATGGCATACCAGTCTCTTATATACTTTTTTTTCTCCAAATTCTTCAGTAGCTTCACGGTCCACACCTGGAACACTCACCAAACACCACACACGCCTTCGATTCGGCCACCCCCACCAGCCTTCGATTCGGTCCAAGCGTCACTTGATCTTCTTCGCGCGGCGCTGCTTGGCCTTCTTGGCCGCCTCGGCCACATGCCTCGGCCGTCATCCGCCGCGCGTCGCGTCGTCCCGGTGCCTTCAGGACGACCCGGACCGTGGTGGCCCTGGCGCGATAGCCCATCCCAAGAGATCCCAAGAGTCGATCGAAGAGGGCGGCTGCAACTCTTGTCATTGGTCACCCACTGATTGAAAGCCACCGGCTCTCAAAGAGCGAATCATCATTATAACATAACTTGAGTGGTTATAATGAGGTGAGAAATGGCACAGACCCCGGGCTCCAATAGAATCATGATAAACTACCTAACTTGGGGGCCTAACAGCGCCATCGAACCTCTGAAACCACTGTAAGCGATGCGTCAAATCTTTGGCAAGAGGGACCTCCTCGGGCTCTCGTCCTTTTTCCATCTGAAGCAACCAGGGGGGGTCCCGACCCAAACAAAACATTGATGCTTTCCAATCCTCACAGAATGGTGACTCAAGCCAATGCACCGCGAGAAGGATCCCTTCCCACCAGATGATGGGCCCGTGAAAAGGGCTCAGGGAATGTTGCAAATGAAGCGATGTCGCGTGCCTGCACAAGCTTTTCGTGCATCACAAGTATTTGAACATAGGAAGGCTAACATGTGTGGTCTGACCCATCTACCTTGAACCTCAGTTTTGGTTGGCATCCATCCAAACACAATTTGTTTCAGATCCATTTCCTTGAACTCCACGCCGACCAATTTCAACTATGACTATAATCATTATTCCCAACAAAACCATGCACTTTTGTGGGTGGGAGGTGCATCGTTGTCCTTGATCCTCACACCACCAAGAGCATTGTTGTCCGTGACTTGGAACAAGCGTGCAGCGTGCACATATGTGCACATGTACAGTCAGCGCCTTTGGGAGACCAACCGAGTGTCGTTTTCTCGTGCCCCAACAGTCCCACACACGACGTTCATGGGACTGCCATAGGACTGCCTACAGCCTACATTGACCCCCAGTCAACCACCCTGGCCGTTTCTCGGCAGTCCTATGGCAGTCCCATGAACGTCGTGTTTGGGAGTGACAGTGGCCAAGTTGCGGTGGATCTTTCCCCGCCCAACTGCCGGTGCTGTGGAGATCACCCCGGTGATCAAACTCCAGGGGAGTTAGGCGGCGGCCATGAGTGGCCCGGGGGAATGACTCCCACCGTCAGTGTCCTCCCCAATCCACCAGGAAGACGATCCGGTGCTGTGGAAGATCCGGTGTACCCAGTGTACCCAGACGCGACCCTGGACCCGAATCCTTTGGAGCGGTCTGGCGTCTCAAACCTCTGCGGTCGTTCCAGATCCCACGAACCGAGAGCCCGGTCAGGAGACGAGACACGTGACGCGACGCGAAGCGGGAGTCCAAGCAAAAGAAGGAAAAAACAGGGAAGAAGTACAACTGCATCGATTTCATTTGAATTCAGCATGGTCACCAGATGGTCACCACAGAAAGGACATGGTAGGGTCCTATCTCAGACCCACCGTGGCTAGCGCCATGGCTTACTGGCCGAGCGTCCGCTTGGCAATCTCCAGGCATCCACTCTCCAGGCTCGTGTCGCCTCGCCATCGTTCGACGAGTCGTTCGACAGAGCCGAGAGAGCCGAGCGGACAGAGCCGGCAACCGCAACGTTTGACACAGACCAGACCAGCTGCTTCCTTAAGGGTCACCTGGCTGGATATCTCCACACTACTTACAGGTCTCCAGACAGGGCACCCCTTGGAAACGCAACGTTTGACCAACAAAGGTTGTGGCTATCCACTGGCTTGTTGGTGTGGGAGGGTTGCCACAAGCTGGCTGCCGGGGGTGTGTACCTACAAACTTCCCACCCTCCCAAAGCCTCATATATTCTTCATAATGTAGACTTTGGGTCTATCCCAATACCTGTAACATTGGATAATGAAGGTTAGTAAAGGCCTTGTTCAAAAATAGTATATAATACTTGTTTACTGACTGTTACAGGTAATAGGACAAACCCAATGTAGACTCTGGATTAAGCCCCCCCTCCATTTGGATTGAACAACCCCTTCATATGAGGGGTTGGTTCAACAATCAAGAGTCTACATTCCAGGGTATTCGGTTTTGCGGACCACCATCGGACCTGTCTGGAGCCCAAACCTGTCAGATTTGGTACGCTCCAAGGAAGGGCCCCCGCTCCGCATCGCTCCGCTGCACGCAGGATTTCTAGAAAGAGTTCAGTCGAAGTTCTGTTTGATCCTTCAGCGTAGGTTGATTCATAAGAAGCCATCCCCCCCGTTTGGATTGTACAACGGCTCCATCTGGGGGGTGTTCATCATTGTGGGGCCACTCAATCGTTGTTTAATGTCCTGCCTTTCTTTTGTCTCTTCTGCTCCTTCTCCACCGGTAGATCTGCTTCAGCGCCAGCAACAATGGGATCGTAATGCTGGCCGGTATAGAGCAGGTAGATCCTCGGCGGAACAAAAGGACCCTCCGCGGGCCAGCCGGGGAGAGCTCTGGGAAATCCCATCTTCCAAAAGTTGTTGGGAAGAAAGTCCAACCCCATTAGGCGCAAATTAACAAATTGAGATAGATCAGGTAGGTCACAAATCTTTGTAGAAACGGTCCTTATTTTACAAGAATCCCAATCTCAACATAACCCTAGAAGTCCGCGACCGGCACCACCCAAGTAGAACAAGTACAGAAATTCCGAACTTCGGATCACCTACTGTATAGACCGTTTAAAACCTGGTCATTCCTGGACTCCCAGGACAAACCGAATAACTGGTCGACCCACTAAGACCGGGCTTGGAATGGGCCTTTGTCTAAGACCACTTTCCTCGTGGACCGAACCGGACGTACTGGCAACGAGACTGACCGAAGGAGAGATCCTGGAAAGACCGATCTTGGTTCTGTTCCTGGAAAAGCACACGTTTCTCTCAAAGAAACTCAGTGAGAAACAAGCTGCCACGGTACGGTGCATCTGGTATGTTGTGGGTATATCATATATTCCCTGGGCCCAATGGATGATGGTTCAGTTGCAGGTTGACATCACTAAATAGTATTATATAGGGATGTTCTTAGTATATAGCCGACTGTTACAGGCAATAGGACGCCCCCAAGGTATAGCCTCTTGGATGGATTTGGGATCAAAACCCCATCACACAGACCTCACAAAACAGGAGGTGCAAGACCTTTTAAGAGCCCGTCAGCTGTCTGAGACGGGGGATCTCACCTGAGAAGCACCAAGCTCATTTGCCATTTTCATTCGAGCCGAATGTCGGCTGCTGCGATGTGGTGGCATCTTTGTCAACACCACTCCGTGTGGTCAGCTACCAGGTGAAAGCTGTGCCCTACGCCATCTTGTGTGGCGGCATTTTCAGCACTATCTTCACTCTCCGACCGCACCACTTCCACGTGGCCATTGGTAGTTGTGAAAAAGGATGTTGTGCCATCGTGCTGATTCTTGCAATCTTCGCCAGCATGATGCTCCAAGAGCAAATGCACCAGGCCCACATCAACATGATCAATTGCCCAAAGCTACGATCGGCAGTTTCTGCGATCTTCTGTGACATCTCAATGTCAGCACTTTTCTTCTGCAAGAGTTGCACCACTTCCGAGTGACCATGATTGGTTGCAAACTGAACTGCAGTTGTGCCATCTTGCTTAGCAGCATCTTGGTCAGCACCTCTCTCCAGCAGCAAGCGCACGACCTCCAAATGACCATTATCAGCTGCCCTATGCATGGCTGTTGTCCCATCATCATCTGCAGCATTCTTGTCAGCCGCAGTGTCTAGAAGCAATCGCACTACTTCCAAATGACCATTCTCCGCTGCCCAATGCAAGGCTTTTGTGCCGTCCTCCTCTGCGGCATCTATGTCAGCTCCACTATCCAGCAGCAACTGCACTACTTCCAAATGACCATTGTGAGCTGCCCAATGCAAGGCTGTTGTGCCATCGTCCTCCGCGGCATTTTGGTCTGCACCATTTTCCAGCAGCAATTTCACAACTTCCAGGTGGCAATTGTTTGCAGCTTGATGCAAGGCCGTTATGCCACTTTGAGTGGTGGCATCTTTGTCAATGCCACTCTCAAGCAGCAACTGCGCCACTTGTAAATGGTTGTTCTCAGCTGCCCAATGCAAGGCCGTTGTGCCATCATCCTCAGTGGCGTTTTTGTCAGCTTTACTCTCCAGCAGCAACTGAACCACTTCCACATGACCGTTGTGCGCTGCCCAATGCAAGGCTGTTGTGCCATCTTCCTCAGTTGCATTTTTGTCAGCCCCACTCTTCAGCAGCAAGTGCACAACTTCCACATGACCACTGTGGGCTGCCCAATGCAAGGCCCTTGTGCCATCTTGCTCTGCGGCATCTTTGTCAGCTCCACTCTCCAGTAGCAGTCGCACGATTTCCAAGTGACCCGTATTCGCTACCATATGCAATGCTGCTTGGTTGCCTTGTGCGTCTCTCGTATTGGGATCCTGCGGCAGCTGAAGCATCCTCTCAACCTCCAGCACACGATGCTCAGCGCAGGCGGACAGGAAGGCTTGGTTGGCGTCGGCATCGGAGTCCTGGAAGTTCAAGATCACGAGCTGCAACGTCAAAGGTGGAATCAAGGCATCCTCATCCTCCAGCTGCCCTCTGCCGGAAAGCAACAGCCTCTGCCGGAACCTGGAGTATCCCAGCCGCTCTCCGATGAGCTGCTTTAAAGCTTTCACCTCACATGGGACCGACGACGTGCGTTGGAACGGACGCGTGAAGACGACCATGTTCTGAAGACCAGGTGAAGACGACTGGTGTGGTATTCGATTCACTTCCATGAATATTTCAGGGTGTGTGTAGTTCAAAAGTGCCACGTATACATGAGATTTTGACTCAACAGCTCGATAGTTCAGCACCCGAGGAGAGGAAAAGAAACAACAACAAGTCTTCTGAAGGGACCTTTCACCCAGGCCATCTCATCAACACAGTTTGACCCCCCCAGCATGAACCCAAAACAAACAAACCGGATGATCAAACTCAAAGAAGCTCCCTCCGGAAAACTTCCAGGGGTCCATGGGCAGGTCAAGTTCTGAATTGGCAGGTCACAGGTTGGTCGCTTTCCAGGATTTCTTGCAACTCCTCCCCTTGAAGCTGGCACAGGGTTCCGCCAGAGATGGAGGCAATTCGTAGCATGCTCAAGGCTGCGGAGCTCAACACGGACGCCCAGCTAAGAAATAAATACGACAGCTCTTTGGTAGAGCTGGGGCCTAATATAAAGGTGAAACCAAAAAAACTTTTAACTTCATCCTAAAATCCGAGCAACAGAATCTACGGCATTGTCTCGCTCTTTGGATCACCTGCTATGTACTGTTTGGAACACCGAAGTTGGCTGGAGTTCGAGAGCTCCAGCCGTTTCAGCTGTCATCCTCGCACCACTGTTGCGACACGAAGCGCATTCATGGGATGAACTGAGACGAACCGCTTCTTTTTGTCATCGTTTTTTTTCCATTGAGACATTCGTGGATGGATGAAGAGGCTCCAGGATATTTGAACACTTAACTTGGTTCTTGATGAATCTCCTGCCCACCGAGACGCTCCAAACACGACTGCTCCCTCAAAACCTCCAAATTTGAGACCCAGGACCCCTCCAAAGGATTCGGGTCCGACCTGGGCGCTTGGTTTCTGAGTAGGCCCTGCCCTACCGGCCCTACCTCTTCAAAATGAGTGTCCACAAAATGAATTTCTGATGACACCAAACCTGCCTCAGAACCTCCCAGACCTTCCCAACTCTTTTTCCCCCCTAAAAAAGCCATTCAACACCTCACCTGCACCAGTCTGACGCGCCAATCATGCCCTCCCGGACTCCAAACCAAAATCACCCCACCCGTCCGTCTGAACTCGTCTCGTCCTCTTCCAGCGCCGAGCGGCCGCGCGCTGCAGAGCGGCAAGTCAGAGCCGTAGGTCAGCACTGGGCCGAGCGGTCAAGCATGAGGAGCGGTGAGGAGTGACCGGTGGGGTGGAGGGCGGGGTGGGGTGGTCCCGGGAGAATAGGTGCTGTTGGTCCGGAGGATGGACTGAGACTGATTGAGACTGCAAATGAGGGTTTATAATTAGACTGAGACCTGAACCCTTTAAGAGACAAACACATCTATAATATGAGATCTGTTGATGTTAAAAACAAGATCTATCCATGTCATTTCTGGGTGCATTCTTGCAACTATAGACCATAGATCCTCTCATGAAGGCCTCATCAGCCTGACTCCGACTTCTCTACGGATGGAGTTGATCCATGCCCCCAGCGATGAGATCGGCGGCCTTGCAAGGACTCGCAGCACACGACAGCCACCTCAACACCTCGGGTGGCGCCCGAGCTTTGCCCCGATCGAACATGGGGGACAAAGCTGAAAGCTGGCCGTCTCAGATTGAAAGTCCAAAACAAAAAGGAACAAATTAAGCCAGAGCCACGTGTCATCATGTGTCTTGAGTTTCGGATATATATGATCCTGAATCCTGCCAGCAAAAAAAAGACCACTTCAACACTTTGCGCTCTCTTGACACATGGCGCTCGGATGTGTGCCGAGATTGAGTGAGTTGAGTTGAGGATGTGACAATAGTGCTTGGCCAAGCATAGAATCCTCAGAGCACGGATGCGTTCGCGAGCAGTGCGCGGTCAGGTATTCGTGGAGTGAAGAGGAGCCTCAATGCAACCCCCAAGACTTGAAGGTCTGTTAAAACCACCTCTAAAACATTCTAAAACAACATGGTTGCCTGGTTTCGTAGTGTACTATCCTTAGTACAACAATGGCATTGCTGGAATCCTAGTCGGCCAGGAATCCTAGTCGGGAACTTGGGCGCGACAGCTAGCCCACTTCCATGACTCTTCCATGGATTTACTCTCTGCCAGTTGCCCAGTCCCAGTTTCGAGTGACTCGGCTGAACAGAACACAAGAACGAGTCGTCCACAGTCCCATCGGAGCTCTACCATTCGCGTCGCGTCGAAAAGAATGTCTGTGTCTAGGCATATGGCATATAGAAAGATTGCACAACAAACACATGCATGCTGCATGTGGTATTTCAAACAATACGGCGGGATTGGTTGGATTGTGTAAGGCACAACGCATTGAAAACAGGCCAGGCCCGCACAAAGGAATATGATGATGGTGTTTTTTTGCCATATAAAGATCAAGAAGATGACAACACTTGGAATCACTTCAACATCTACACTGCATCTCTGCGCTCCACAAGAAACACCTTCAGATTGCCCGTGGTATCTGGATGTATCTGGTGGGCTTGGCAAACAGTGAGCGACCTTGGAGGTGAAAAAAGGTAGCAAGTGAGCGGTGTTCTCGCACAGGGAGGGTAGTTCACTCTCTCTGCGACTATCTCTGCTTCATGGATGAGAAGGTTGGCCTGGGTCGCCATGGTGGCTGAGGATGGCCGAGGATGGCTGACACCACAGTGCTGCCATGGCTCTCATTTTCTCCGCCCCAGTGGAACTCCTTAGTGGAAAAGTCTGGGTGGCGCGGCGGTGATAGCATCAAGATCGAAGAGGAACACAGCTGGTTGAAAACGGTTGAATAGAAACATCTTTGAGGCCTGGTTTTGCGATTCACTAGATCCCTTGTTACGAGTCAAGTCTCTTTCTTTGGGTCCTGAGCCCCAAAAATAGGCGATCCGACCTGAAGAACTGCAGTCAACTGGGCAGAACGCACGGAGGGAACCCCTCTAGAGGTGCCCTAGCCAGCCGCATTCGTGAGTTTCTCCACCCTCAAACCGATCCATCCACCGGCTATGTCGCGGTGGCCCGCCGAGGGTCGTTTCGGATCCAGGTGGCGTACCTCGGGGCGGCTTTGGAACGAAGAATGCGTCCCACCACGACACAGGAATCAGGTCATGAAGTCTGCTTCTGATTCGAACTCCGATTTCAGCCCCAACATGAGGCCTCTTGGCTGCTTCCACGGCCGTTCGCCGTTCGCCCAACTCGCCCAACTCGCCAAGCCACTCCTCTACGCTGTTGAAACCCAACAGCAGACTGCGGGTCATGGGGTCCGGATCCTGCAAGGCGTCCTGCGCGCAGACCTCGTGGTGGGCACCGCCGGAACCGGAAACCGGAAACCGACCCGGCGGACGGCGGACACGGCGGTGGGTGAATCAACACGACGCACACAAGATGGGTTTCTTTGGGGGGGCCAACATCTATAATGGATTGAGAGTCCCTATATGGATCCACATACCTTCTCAAAAAGTTTTTTGTACCTTCCAAGCCTACATAAATAGTCTCCAATCATCTTCTCAGAAGGTATGTGGATCCATAGGGAGTAGATGGCACAGACCCCATGGGATGACTTGGGATGACATGGGACATAGATTTGCATGTGATTTCGAAGTGCGGGGAGGCATGTGCAGTTCATGAATCTACTGACATTGTCCACCCGCATTGGCTGGGGCAGAAGTCAACAAAAAACACTATAGTCCTGTTACACAGGCACCCTAAACACTCTTTCAAACGCCATGAAACACACACACACATACACACACACACCCATTCACCAACACCCAACGCACCCAATATCTTTCACTCCACCCAATACGCGCCTCGCGAAGCTCTTTGGCTTTGGCCCGGCCCACCTCTCCCTCCTCGGTCGAGGAACGGTGTTGACTGCAGTTTCGAGGCCAAGCGAAAGTGAGATTCGGGAGCATGAATCGATTCGGCCAATCGAAAGTGAGTCGAGTGACTTGAGGCTCTTTTGTGTTTCTTGCTCATCCAAGGAAGCGTTGGATAAGACAATCGACTTTCGACCCCCCTAAACCAAGAGAGGTTGAGAGACCAGGACTACCGTAGATGGACGAAATATTCAAACCCTTTCAACCACGAGGACCCCTCCTACCCCAAAGCTCAATGTTAGAGGTCTTGCAAGAATGTTTCGGCGAATGGACGAAACAAATCAAACCCTGGAAACGCAAATTCAATCAAGTTATGTTCAACATTGACCTTTGGGGGTCAGGGGTTGGCGACAGTTATTGACACATGGGTTTGAATATTTGGTCCATCTACTGTCTAAAGGTGTGACGTTTGCATATTATTGGCTCGTAAGTATCAAGTCTAACATCTTCATCCGTAGTACTCTGTGTTTTAATCTTCTGTGCTCAACAACCTTTCACATCGACACGTTGCGAGCGAGGACAGCAGACGTCAGGAAAGCAAGCCAGATGAAGAGCAGTTCCAGCTACTGTTCTTACTGTTGCCATGTGCCGTGTCTGTTCCCAGTTCCTTTCCAGTGCCTTTCCAGTGCCTTTTCACGGCTTGTGTGCGCCTGCCAGTGATTTTGCCATGTGACTCACTTTTTTGCTAAAAAGAGATAGCTTATCTTTTTGTTTCAACAAAACTTACCAGAAACACATTTTTGCTGGCAGGGCCACGAGAAAGTGCAAAAGGCACTGGAAAAGGCACTGGAAAGGCACTGGAAAGGGACTGGGAACAGACACGGCGCATGGCAACAGTAGCTGGAACTGCCCGGCATCACTTGAAAACAACACACGCATGTGCGTCTGTAGGTCTCCGGTCGCCGTCCACACCCAGTACCGTAGATGGACGAAATATTCAAACCCTTTCAACCACGAGGACCCCTCCTACCCCAAAGCTCAATGTTAGAGGTCTTGCAAGAATGTTTCGGCGAATGGACGAAACAAATCAAACCCTGGAAACGCAAATTCAATCAAGTTATTTTCAACATTGACCTTTGGGGGTCAGGGGTTGGCGACAGTTATTGACACATGGGTTTGAATATTTGGTCCATCTACTGTAGGACCCTGTAGTGGTACATATAGGATGGGCTATAGGGCTGTTCAACCTCTCTTGGAACCCAATGATCTGATTCGTATCTTGCGTGAACATGGGACAATTGATTGCAGTTCGCTGAGGGCCCAAGAAGCAACTGCGAAGTGATTGTTGCAGCCGAGCAGCCACCAAATACGCAACAGCCCAGAAGAGACAGCTGTTGTCATTCCTCAAAAAGCGAGAAGGAGAACATGCCTCTTAAACCCTGTCTTCTGCAGGCATTGCTGCTCTCCCAAGAGTGCAGTAAAGCAAGCTATCGGCACCTTCAAATTGACCAAATAAGGATATGTGTCGAAATCAATTCTCGAAACGTACATGTATCAAAACAAACTATGGCAAGAAATCGCCACATATTTCAACACCAAGAAGCTACCTGATGACGGACCACCCCCGACCCCCTTTCGAGTCTGCGAGGCGAGTGTCGGTACGCTGCGACGGACCGGTACCGCCATCGTCTCGGGCGGCCCGGGACAAAGTTGACCCATCCACTACCGCGCCGGCACCGGCGCTGGCCGTTGTGGTCAGCTCGGGTTGTCACGGCAGGTGGAGCCACGGAAGGAGCGGGTGGGGTGGAGCGCAGTTGAGCGGGTTGAGCGCGTGGAAAGTGGACACGGAAGGGATGTGGAAGTGATAAAGGCCAAACACGGAAGTCAAGGACGTGCTCTGGTCGTACTACAAATGAATATCATTCAACTGATATCTTTACTGCAACACACTGAAACTGACACACTAAAATGCTGGTGAAAAATGGGAATACACATGTCGGACATGTCGGAGGGTAAAAACTATTGGTGTTGGAAACCCAAGTCCACAGATACAGTGCCCTATGAGAAGTCTATAGATGGTATATGATGCTATATTCAGAATTGACTGGCCTCCCTATGCCACTGCTACCACATCTTTCGGCTGGCTTGAAAAGTGGCCAGTCCTGGGGAATGAAACCATGACCTCCCCGGCTCCAAACATCCAAGTGAGCCACCCCAGTGAAGAAGCATCAAAAAGACCCACCTCTTCCCAAAGCAGGACCTGTGTGACCAAAGAAGAAGTCCCCCCCTTTTGTCGGAGGTCCGCTTCGGACGTTTGGGTCCCGGCCACTCACAGGTTTCGAAACACCAAGACCAAGTGATGTCGGCTCCTTTTGTCTCTTCGCATCCCGACAGGATGTGGATCCCCACGTGAACCGGGCGCTGACGCAGCGCAGCGCGGACCCGCTGGCCAAGCCCCCGGATCGCTTCTCCGCACAAAGGTCTCGCGATCAGTGCCCCACATGTCCTTCGAGTGATTGATGGCCCTGGAGCCTGACCTAGGACATCCTGACATCCTGACCTAAAAGGACATCCTGACCCTGCAAGTCTAGTAAAGCCTAGCTGCCGCCGGCCTCTGAATGTGGCATCCTATTCTGTGGTGCTTCTGGGGGGCGCGCTTTGTGCTTCACGATCTTTACGGACTAGGATGAGGTAGGCATGCTGGAGCTACACTAGACTGGGTGGACCTGTTTGAGCTTGGGGTTCTGACCAATCATTTAGACATGTTTCGGGCGCATCTGTTTGAAGATACTGGTGCGGTTCAACTGAAGTTGATCTTTGGCTGCGCCTTAGACCTGACTGTGAAGGCTCAATGTCACTCTTGGAAGTCGTCCTTGACGGTCCTACGGCAGAGTAACTGGCATCATTGACTAGCAAGTGCCACCAACTCCCTGTAACTCCAAGTAAAGTCCCTCTTGAAAGGGGGACGATGGATACCCCCAGCGACGGTCTGAGGGTCTGGGTCCTTTTGAAGCAGCAGCGAGTTTCAGTGAGCTGCCAGTGTTTTTTTCTCATGGGAGGCTTTTTCAAGGGCAATGATCCAGCAGCATCCTACAGCCTCAGACTTGGCCTGGCAGAGCAATCGTCGAGCAATGCTACGAGTCAACATAGTAGTTTGTGGCTAAGTTGGCCTGGTTCAAGGAAACCATACTAGGTTCAAAACGTTCCCACCAATTCAAGACGTTCTTTGGTGTAGGGATTGGAACTGAAGGGCTCCTATTTTATACCAAAAGGCGCAGAAGGAACACGTCCCATGGGCCGACCCGGGTCCATGGGATCGACACCTTGGTTAGCCTGTCCGACGTGGCCAATCGTGGCACCCGCGCTTAAACTGAAAACAATCCAAGACATTGGGCGAAGCTCAATGACACACCCCCCCAAAAAAAAACGCACGTGCGCATGGCACATAGCTGTTCATGCCACCTGAAGTTACCATGTCAATGTGTCTCGCTTTCCAGGAAGGCCCATGAGTTCGCGCGCGTTTGCGTGCTTTCGGCTGAGTGAGGTTCCCATGAGGTTCGCAGGCTTCGAGCCAAAGCAGTGCGTCTTTTCTTCCATTCTACGCTGGACCGGTCGCCTGCGACACGAGGGCCTTCGGCCGTCGTTTTCGGTGACAAGGCGTCTTTGGATCCGAAAATGGAACGTGCTGGTGACGAAGAGCAAAGCAAAACTACAGCATCAATACATGTGGCCCACAAACATATCAAAAATGGCAATATAAAGCAATATAAAGCAACTATATATGTGCCCTTCCCTCATGCGTGGTTTACTGGTAAGATGTGATGCAGGGTTATGCCCAGACTGCCATCCCTCATCAGGTTCTACCAGTTGTACCAAGTGGTCTTTCAACGTAATCATCCATCATCCGACCCAAGTCAAATCCGCAATCTCCACACTTGATCAAACCCTTCGCCACATCTCCGATGTTTCTGACGGACGGCTCGGCACGAACTTTCAGCGTGCTCAGCGTGCTTCGGACATGGCAGGGTGGTCGTTGCGAAGGTGAAAGTGATGGTGAAAATGCGAGTGGAGCTGCCTCGGACATCGGCAGTGCTCGCTGGACATCGAACGTGGGCTGGATGGCGCGAGCTAGTGGTTCTTGGTTGGTTGTCTGTAAGAACCGTCAAATGCAAGAACTGGCCGATCTCTTCTCCCATGGAGACACAGGACTCGCCCTCCAGACTTTTGCACGCTCTTCATGTGGTTCCTAAGATGTACCTGCTCCAAAACCGGACATGGGGATTTCTTCTCATTGCTCGTGTTCACATCACATAGATGTCCCAGGAACCGGTCGACAATGGCTCTATTTTCATGTTCACGTCCCTCTTGTTCTCGGATCGGACCATGGCTGACTCCTCATCCGTCAACAAACTTAGGAACCTTCAATCTTCAAGTGTCCAGTAGTGCCAAGTGGAAGGTTCATGAAGATCAAATCACTTTCTATATCACTGGGATTTTTCCAAGCTTGCGCCAGGAAGTCTTCCACTTCAGGCTTTCGTTTTCACCCCAACATTACCTGGGCCATCCTGGGCCCAAGTTAACCACGCACGACTCCCCCAAGCAAAACGGCAACCAGGTCACTCCATGATGGGCATTTCCCAGCTGGCCTCGCTCTTGGAACTCCTTAGGCTCCTTGGCGCGTGTGCATTCCGGACGGACGTGGTGGCACTGGGAAGCTGCCATACTGGAAGGTCGACTCAGTAGCTCGACTCAGGCTAGCATGTTTGTATACTTTTGTATAGTGTGCACGTTTTGCGGATATCCTCCCAAACTCCCAGGTACCCACCATCTATGGTGACCTGGGCCCCGTATGCTTTCGAGTCTGCGCCGGATCGGACGCCGCCGTTCGCCGCGGGGTCAGCGGGTCAGGTTGGGATCACCGACTTCGCCCGTTGGCCTCGCATGTTGCATCCCAACGAACCTGGTGGCCCCATGTGGCCCCAAGATGACTTTGAGATTGGGATCATAAACCACCAAACTTGGGGGGTTGTGCCATCTACTGTGCCCAGTTGCGGCGTCTTCTTCTTTTTCAATGCAAAGTGATCTTTCAACCTCAGCCGCTGAAAGCGCTAAGCAGGGGGTCTGAGGACCACCACTTGGCACACACCTGCACCATAGGAGAGAGATGGAGAGAGTGAACATACAGGGACATGTCCAAGCATATCGCGGATTGAAACAGAGTGGGTTCTGATCCTAAAGGTGTTTGTAAAGAAGGGAAGACAGGTAGGTCACGTGACGCCTCCTAAGGGTCACTTAGGAACCTTCAAAAGGTCACGTACTGAAGAAGCTGGAAACACCTAAACACCACTTCACCGGTCCGACTTGAATCCGCTCGCTGACAAAGCAGCGGCGCCAGCACCAAGGGGTTCAAGTATGGCGACTCCTCGAGCGGTGTCGTGTTGATTCATCTCGATTCACGGTCGACCGTTAAAAGATGTTAAAAGCACGCAGAGAAGGGTTCGGTGCCGTTCCAAGATATCATCACTGATATCATCAGCATCATCAGACTCTGAAGAATCAGAACCGAGTTAGAACCTGATGCTGGACCGGACCGTGCTTTGCTCCTTTGGTGGCTCCAGGTGCTTTGCCCGGATCTTGCGCACAAAGGCTTGGTACTTCGCCTGGAAAATGAGGCGAGGCGAGGCATCTACTCGACGCGGGACCGCGTGCATCCATGCGGTCCATGTGTCTCTTTCTTTTGGGGTAGGCTCTACATGGCTCTACTATACTTTTGGGGATCCACCAAACAAAATAACAATAAGTGGCACACCCCAACATGTCGAACAGCAACTCTGCCCTGGGTGCTGTCGGACAGCAACGGCCTGTGATTCTTTGTGTTTGAGACGTTGTTACCCCAGCTGACTCAGCATCGTGTTCACAATGGTAAAGAAACATGGAGCTTTGTAGATGTGCATCCAAAACTTGGCCTGCACGAGTGGTTTAGCTCCCGAAACGCCCTTTCATTATTCTAGTCCGCATCCAAATGGGATCCCGTGTTGAAAACAACACCTACGGCCGAAACCAACCACAGGGGCATGCGATGGACACACCGCACAATTTAAAAGGACCTGGACAGCGAACTTCTGATTTGTCACCCCACTTTGGCATCTCTGACCACCTATATCACCTATGGCCATCCGTGGCCATCTATCTCCCCCAAACGCGGCGCTTCTCCGTGCTTTTCGACAGAAAATGACCCTTCTATAGGACCCTTTTGGCAAAGGGTTCCCTACTCGCTTGGTGGAGACCAAACAATAACACCACTTTGGAAGGGCCGCCTCACCTCCAAGCCCCGTTGATGTTTCCAGCGCGCCAGAACCCCAAACGCCACGCCACGCACGCGGGCCTCTGGGGAGTCCAAATGCAGCGGCAGTCCGCTCCCCCGACCAGGTACCGTGGTGGTACCCACGGTCCCCGCCACGGTGGTGCCCAGGTATCCCTCGCTGCTGGCGCGCGCGGGGCTCGCCTGGGAAAGCGGCATGGAGATGGCCGGGGGAAAAAGGAACGGATTCTTTTGGGGGGGCAATGGAATTATAGAGCTAACATCTAAGAGTGACTTTTTTGTTGACTGTTATTGATTGTTCTGTTCCGAACCTAGGAGTATGCCAAATGCAGGTTCCTCTGGCAGTGCAAGCAGAGTGCTCCCAAGACTGATTCCTCAAACCAAAGCGCTCCCTCCCCTACGCCCAGCCGGGGGTCTCTATGGTCGCCCAAGCCACTGAGAAGTCGTAACCTCCTGAGTCAGCATGACTTACCTGGCCGAAGGGGCTGAGGGGCTGATAGTGGGGGCGATCCGTAAATGCATTTCGACCTGGGTGATAGAATCCAACTATGCAAAGACATGCAAAGACTAATTATAGAGTTGGTATTCGACTCAAACACCACTCCCAACTGAGGACTTAGTCTGGTAGGTTTGACAGAAAGATCCTGGTGCAGTAGCAGTATTGAACATAAGGCACCCAACATCAGGACGTCCAGATTCCCAAGACATGTCCACTTCTGTTCATACAAGTCCGTCCTTGCAGGATCCGGGCCGGGCGGGCTCTGAGGGGAAGACGAAGTCTGAAGACCAATCTAAAACCCCTTAGGCTTCCTGGCCCACATCCTGGCCCACCATTGATTGAACGGTCGACCTACCGAACATCCATGGTTTTACTGTTTGACTCATGGCTTCCACACGACACCACCCGGTTCTTTCCCCGGTCGAACGGAAGGCGACCGTGGCCAGGCCCCCGGGTGCGACGAACGGACGGCCTTGCGGAAGTCCAAGGGCGGCAACGACGGCCTCTTGGGGCGCCTGGGTCGAACATCGAGCCCCAAGCCACCAAGCCACATGGGTCCGGAAAGAATTAGATGTCAGAGGCAAACGGAGGGGTAGTGCACAGAAAGGGTTTTGCAAAAGCCTATTCTAAAATCGTGGAAGGTGCGGGACATTCGTAGAACCCAAGGCTATTCGTGGACAGTTCGTGGAATGGTGAGCCAGTAGGAGAACTGACTGCAACGAAATCCCAGAAACCTTCGCAGAACTTCGTGGAAGGTATTTTTGATGCACTAACTTCGTATAAGCGATTTTTCTGACCCCCTTTCTCCACACACCCTCCATTTAGCCGTCGAGATGGACAATACAAGTGATGGTTGTACAAGAGACATAATGGACAATAGATGACAATAGTGACAGTACAAAGTGATTGTTTTGAAATTATATAAACATAATGGATTGGATAATAATAAAGAGCAAGGGAGGGACGTGCTTCTGTGCGTTCCAAGCGTTCATGCCAATTGCCTTGAAGAAAAGGTGGGTGTAACACCTCCTTGCAAACGTTGTTGCCAAGCTGGTGCTCGCCGATGTTCATATGTCAAACGTGAGACCCTGGCTGAATCAGCCGAACATTGGCGTGTAGCATTTTTTGGATATGTCCATCCGATGGCCGACCAAACAAAGGAACGTCATATGCTTGATCCGATGGTGGCCCTGATCCGATGGCAGCCTCTGGCGAGCGATCGTCCAACAATTCTGCTTGGGATCTCCTGGGCATAAACTCAAGGTCGCCTTTTGTAGCTGCCTCACTACTCAACTAGATTCAAACAATTTCAAACAGTAGATCAATGGCTGTAGAACTCCGACAGTCCCTGAAGTTGTATCAGTTGTGTCGATACTTCATCAGCTCATCCGAGACCATAAAGAAAGGGGCCAAGTCAAACATGTCCGATTGCTATGCGTGTCCAATTTCTGGAAACACATCCACTGGATGGTGCTTGAAACATGTGGAAACCCTCCCCAACATACCGTATTTTGCAGTCATTCCCAGAAATAGCTGGATTTTTGTTGTCAAAGAAAACATCCACCCGCCTTCCACTCACTCTTTCCACCCAGCTCCACATGATGTGGAGGATCAGCTCCCAATGGCAGCCCATCTCTCTCCACATCAGCCAAAGAACACATCCACCCGCCCCCCACCCAGCTCCACATCATCCACACCAGCTCCACATCAGCCCAGGGCACAGGTGCTCAAAGGCTTTGGCGAAGGCCGCCGGGCTCATCGCCTTGGAGCGCCCGAAGATCTGCGACTCCTGGACCGACGCCGGGTGCACCGTTGGCCGTTGAGACCGTGTATCGTCTTTTTGGACGGAAAAGGATCGAAGTACGAAAAAGGAACACCAAAAGTCAACCAAATTGGGAAGCTCATGAAGCTCAAAGTACAGTACCAGTACCAGTACCGGACGGTCGCCATATTGACTGCCTGCACACGGTATATTCATGCTTATTTTGGGTTCATCCCTGCACTCCTGGTCCATCATCCGCCGCACGCGTGTCACCCAAGCACCTTCCTGCGAGGGGTGCGGACAGTCAAACCCACTGTCCCACAGCCGAAAGCGCAACAGTCAAAGAACTGAATTCAACATGACCATCAAGGTGAGCTGACTCCGAGCTGTCTCAAATCCCTGTCTTCTGGTGAGCTGACCCCGAGAAAATGCCACAACCCCCGCCCCTCCCCAAAAAGCACATCTTCTGGAATGGAATCGGTCTATTGCAAACCACCGGCACATTTGAATTGCCTAAATGGAACCCTAAAATTACGGACGGATTCCAAGCCCTCCCAAACCGTGATCCACTTCGTCTCAGCAGCGGAAGAAAAAACCACTCGCGTGCGTCCAATGCAAGGGTCGTCGGCGGACCGGCTCCGCGTTAACAGGTGGACAGGTCACAGAACGCCTCCTCAGTTCTTGGATTATTTGCGGACCTACTAGGGGCTCCTGGCATCGCTACGAACGGAGCAAGGTCGCCCCCCTGGCCTGGTCTTTCTCGCTCAGCAGTTCTTGTGGCGGATCTGGCAAGGGAACGGGGGGGGCGAAACGGGCGGATGACGTCATGTCGAGATTCGGTTTGAGCGGGGGCGGAAACCAAACGGGGCATGATACGCACATGCCGGTGTCATTCATGTGCGCAAAGGTTCGCATGGATATCACAAATAATGTGGATTGATCTGTCAGGCCTTGAGTCTTGGGTAATTACATCAATTTGTGTTTGTGGGTGATTGCAACTGCGGTTGAGCCAAGTGAAGGGCAAGATGTTATCATCTCAGAATCTCATATCACCTTGTTGGACAGGTTTGCCATTGTTCTACTCACCACTTCCCCCTTACCAACTGCCAACAAACTTTGAGGCATGCCCAGTACACACCACGTCTAGGATTTGATCCAAGTCTCTGTCCAAATGAACAGAGTCCTCTATGAGGGATGTCAACTTGTCAACTATCCATGGTGTGGTGGGGGAGGTAGATCAACTCACAGCCAAAGATCAACACGGCTCCAACTATAGATTCACATAGATTCACTGCTCAATCTTTTCAGCCAATCGGTATATCCCATGATCCCAGGGCCGTGGATGATGACGAGGTTTCAGGCCGACATCTCACAACATTGTGACACTCTTTTACCGTTACTATCCGTTACTGGGGCACACCTTATCATTATCATTCAATATCTGCATGTAACAAATCACCACTTGCCCTCCTCCATGGCTTCGACGAACTTCGCTCTAAAACATCGCCTGTCTTCTCTGCCGGCTTCGCCTGTCTTACGCACGCAGGGGGGGGGGTCCATGCCGGGCACTGGGCGCATACGCATGCGAGGCCGGGTGACCTGTCCCTCCGGTTTGAGGTCACTTAGGCCTGTAAAAGGTCATTGGAAGAAGCAATTGGTAAGGGCTTTGCAGGCGCTTTGCAGGCGTCTTGTGACCTTTCCACCTGCAGTGATGCCTGCCCCATCAAGAGTGGCAAAACCTGCTGGGTTCTCCAAGCTTGGCCAAACTCCAAGCTCAGAAACACTCACTTTCTTGCTGAAGGAAATATGGAACAAGTTCTCTTCAGGAACCCAGGCCGGGCATGTTTCTTGGAGCTCAATAAAGGGTTCCACACGACCTGATGATGTTGGAAAAACAATGGATTTCCTCAAATTGATTGAGCACGAGGCCAATTTCTGGCTATCTAGCCGCAAATCTGTCCTCATGTCCGTGGAAAAATATGTGTTCTGCGTGTTGTAGTTCTTTCATCCTTTGTTTGATCAGCACGTGTTGTAGTTCCCCCCCACGCGTCCGGTTGGGCGCCGGTTGGGCGCCTCCGCGTGGAGTGCACTCTCCTCCGTCTGCGCAAAGGTCTCTTGGAGCTCAGGACCGGGAACCTGCGAGGCATCCAACCGGTGGTGGGCTTCTACCGTCTACCGGTCGATCCACTGCACCAACCCACCCAGCGGTTGATCGACCCACCCTCATCTAATGACCATACAGGTACCAAGAATTTACAGTAAACCAACCAAACCAAACCATGTTCATCCATGTTCCAAGTGCTTTCGAAAGTACATCGCATCATCCAGATGTTCATCCCGTTGGCAGGGTTCCAAGTTTTTGGCCTTCGTTTTGGACCCCAAAACGTTCGTGCCGATGCCGAGACCTGCACCCTTCAAGATGATGGAGACGTGACTGTCCAGTTTAGGCCTGCTCTCTTGCACCAAGTGGAGCTAGACATAGCTAGCTAGATGGTCTTTGGGGGGACTCTCTGCAGATCCGTACGGATCCTTTCAGCAACCCACTGTAAGAGTCAACATGACTACCATGCATAGATTTTGGAACACCAACCCCCCCTAGCAAGCTGGCTGGTCCTGGTCCACGTAACTATAAGTAAAACCCATATTCTGCATCCTGCCAAAACCCGAAAACCGATGTTCTCGTCTTGGCATTTCCATGCAGTTCTCCACTTACGGGAACTTTCTCTGGCCTATTATGCACTGGTTCTAGGCTTCGCATACGGAATGCAGCCTTTGCAGGATTCGATCCCGGAAGGCGAGCTGGAAGGCCTTGTGATACCGGGCATGTCAGCTTAGCCCCTTTGAGCTTTTGGGCTCCGAAGCCATCTCCGGATGTCCTCACCTCTGTTTGTGTGGCAGCCGTGCACTGCTCCGCCGGCTCCGCCCTTGGAAGGCGAGCTTTGCGGGGAAATGATCCCCGGCTGTGGAGGGGTTCTGTTGACACCCAATATCCCTGGGAGTCAAAGACTATAACAAGAATGGTCTTTAGGGGACCTGAAAGGGAACTTCCTTTACTTCAGCCGCTCAAAATATAGTCGAACTGGACTTCTAGGGATATATTATATAGTCAGTCCATAGACTCCATGGAATATATGTGTTGGACCCCCCCAATCAACCACCCCAACTGATCGGCACTATATGGCAGTTCCATGGAGACATGAAGCGTCTGGCACTTTCCTAACTTCGATTCGTTAAGGGAAAAGGATGGTCATTGAGTTGGACAAGGATTCTTGCCCTACTAGCTTCACTTCTGCTGAAGAAAAAAGTATATGCAGTATGAAAAAACGGTGTACTTTATTAGACAGTCATGAGTCATGTGATATCATGAGTATATTCAAAAAACGCCAAGTTCAGGTGAATAAAGCTTTTACGGACATCTTCATTTTCTCCTAGCCATGGCTACTCCCAAGATTCCTCTGCTGGTGAGCGAGTCCAACCTTCCAACCTTCCGCGCCGAGCGGCGGCGCTTCCTCCGTTTGACTCGCGCGGGACAGAGTAGCCACCGGAGCAGAGTGCGAGAAGGTGGCCTCCTCCTGGTCTGGTACCCTCCTCCTGGTCTGGTACCCTCCTCCTGGTCTGGTACCGGCACTTGTCCACACGTTGTCAAGCCGAGAACTTGTGACGTGTGAAACGAAGGGGACACGTGGCTTCGATCCAACCGAGTTGGTGGCACCGGGGAAGCAAGGTGAAGGTGGATGTATGATCAAAGTCCAAGCAGGATTGGATCAGCCAAACACCTGGAAGGCACATGAAGTCTTCAAGTTGATCAAACCGTGCCAGCCATGAGGTGGTCCTGTGCTTGGACTGAACTCAGATTGAACTTACTACCCCAGTAGTGTGAAATAGCGACTTGGGCACATGTTTTCGCCACACGTTGGCCTTCTCCGGCCTTCGTTCGCCCCACCCAACTCCCTGAAATAAACACCACTCCGGCCCACCCTCCAAGGCACCCCTTTTCGAACGCCGTCCCTCAGGGATGGCGAACATTCCACATGGCGAACATCTTTGGATCGCCCAAAAAACGACGCGTTTGGGCCCGCAGAGTGGGTGCTTCTGGCTGAAAAAATGGGTTTGGACGGCCTAGATGCCGCATAGATGCCGACCAAACGGCCTCCAAACGGTTCTCTTGGTGCAAATTGGCGGTGACTTCCAGTGAGGCAACATGACTATTTGGAGGACCACTTGTAGGACCGCCCATGGTTCACTCATCCACTCCCAGTTGGGCTAGCGGCTACCTCACCCGGCCAGGCTCATTAACTCAGGCGCATCCCAGTTCGTGGGAGCTGCCGATCTTCGGGCTAATCTGCGGCAATCCCATCGTCTGGGGATCCATGTCCCCGCTTCGTTGCCCAGGCACGAGGCCGGAATGAGTGACCGGCACGAGACACGTCCACGAGGAGAAAGAAGGTGGGTCAATTCATTTGGTATCCCAACCAATTGCCCCAGTCCGCGATTTGTGACTATTAATGTGGACATGGACACCTCCACTGAATCACAGCAAATACTTCGCTCAGCGTGGCCGCTCCTCTGCCCGGTCTCGCGCGGCCGTTCGGACTCCAGCCGGCTGGTGAATTGCAGGCTATCTCCAGGACTCCTGAGGAAATCCTGGACGTCTCCCTGGAATCCGCCCATAGACATTGCTCAGCTCGGGCTCGTAGGAGGCCGGGCCGGGACCACCACGGCGCAGCCCGGTCCAACGAGGGGAATACGGGTTCGTCCTTGGACGTTGAGGTAGGGGTCGGGAGGGGACTCGGCAGCTGGGGGGGGGTGGACTCAAGAGATGGAACCCAGGTTGGATCACAGGTTGGAGCATGAAACCTTCTGAACCCAAGACACTTCATCTTGAGAAGCTTGAAGATTGGTCAATACTTACCTTTCCACCCTTTCCTTGGACTTTCCCAGCCCTTTCTCCACCCTGGCCCACCACCAGCAGCCGCATCCAGCTGCATCCACGATCTTCACCAAGCGTCTGGCGCCGATGCCCAGCCGTCCACCAAGGCCCGCCCAAGGTACTGGGCAATTCTCCTGCACTGTTGGGAAAGGTTCGGGGGTAGAAGATTGCCTCATCCATTCATCCAACTAACATCAACTAATCATGGTGGATCAAGGGTGCTAGCATGTGGTTCAGGGGTGGAAGCTTCAGCAAGGCGCTCTCCGCCTTCAAAGGGCCTAGACCAGGTCTACGCCCCTACTTTTTTGGCTGTGCGGCCGTGCTGGGGTTTCCCACGTGGCAGGTCCCGGAGCTGCAACGAGTTTGGTCTTCTGAGAGTTTCGATGCTGCAAATCGGCACCACTTTAAGGCAATTCACAATTCTCTCTTGATCAAAGGGCAGCAGTTGACGTTCCTTTCAGCGATGTGTCTTGGAATCTTTTTTCTGGGCCACAAGCCTGCCGTCGACATACAGCTCGCAAACTGTTCATGGGGCTTTGCACTTGAAGTTTCATGAAGTTTCTGCGTGTTGCTGTCTTACTTCTAGCGCAATTTGTGGGTCCAGCGCACTGCAAGGCTTGTCAGTCCGGGCCACAAAGGCCCCTAGGGGAGGAACGAACAGCTCGGCCAGATCTGAGGAACGCGCAGTTGGGTTTTGAGGCATCACGGAGTCTCCAAGGTTGTTCATGTTATATATAGTGCTCACGAGTTTCGTTTTT